ATCATGCAAAATTTATGGCAATTGCAATCAGGGTGGGAAGAATCTCTACCATTGGATCTTCATACCTCTTGGGTACATTTTCAAAATCAAATAGGGTATCTGGAAAATATAAGAATCTTTAGGCAAATAATATGTGATAACGCAGTACATATTCAACTTCATTGTTTTTCGGATGCTTCAGAATTGGCATATGGCGCAGCTATTTATATTCGTTCAACAGATCAAAGCGGGAACCATTCGGTTAGTTTAGCATGTGCAAAGTCACGAGTTGCACCACTAAAATCAATTTCATTACCCAGATTAGGATTATGTGCAGCTTTGCTTGTAGCAGAACTTGCAAAGGAAGTCATATCGGCATTGAGCATTGAGGTAAATAAAACATATTTTTGGTGCGATTCAACTATCACTTTATCTTGGATTGCGGGTGAACCCAAAGAATGGAATACTTTTGTCGCGAATCGTACTTCCGAAATTCAACGTTTAACAGAGGCTAAGCAATGGAGTCATATTATATCTCAGGAGGATCCTGCTGATATAATATCAAGGGGAATTGATGCACGAAAATTGGAATCTTGCAAATTGTGGTGGAATGGTCCTGAATGGTTAGTTAAACCTGAGATATCTTGGCCGGCTACGCGACAATTTGTGGTTCAGGACGTTCCAGAAAGGAAAGTTATTCATCAAACGTTTATTGCAATCTCAAGTGCGGATATTTTCAATCGGTATTCTAATTTGAATAAATTACAGAGGGTATGGGCATTTTGTTTAAGGTTTGTTAAGAACTGCAAATTATCATCAGATCTAAGATCATTTGGTAATCTCACTGTAAATGAGTTGGAATATTCATTAAATTATTTAATCACGGTGGCTCAAAAGCAAGCATTTAGGGTAGAAAGGCAGGCAATAATTGCAAATCATCCTATCGCTAAAACAAGCAATCTCCTTTCACTCAATCCTTTTCTGGATAATGATGGATTGATAAGGGTAGGGGGGCGTTTGCAGCGGGCTAATATATCATATAATCAAAAACACCCAATCATATTACCTAGGCATCACGTTCTTACGAATCTAATTGTACTGCATGAGCATAGTAAGAATTTACATGCAGGTCCACAGGCCTTACTAGCGATAATTCGACTCAAGTATTGGCCTATATCAGGGAGAAGTACAATCAGGAATATCCTTCATGGTTGTCATATTTGTTTTAGAAACCGACCTAAGCGTTTTCAATACATTATGGGCGAACTGCCGAGTGCTCGTGTCACACCAAGTCGTCCAGTTACCAATTGCGAAATAGACTATGCGGGACCTTTCAATATTAAAGCAAACAAGCTTAGAGGGCACAAAATAATCAAGGGATATTTGTGCGTTTTCGTGTGCTTTGCCACTAAGGCTGTCCATCTTGAGTTGGTGAATGACTTGAGCACTGAAGCATTCATGAATTGTTTTAAAAGATTTACTGCCAGACGGGGATTATGTCAAAATATTCATTCTGATAATGGCAGTAATTTTAAGGGAGCTCACAATGATTTGCAAGAGCTATATGTTTTTTTGAATAATTCTTCTAATCAATCAAAATTTAATAATCATTTTGCTAGTATTTCCATCAATTGGCATTTCATTCCAGCTTATTCTCCGCATTTTGGAGGATTATGGGCATCAGTTGTCAAATCAGCTAAATATCATTTGAAAAGAGTAATTGGGAATCAGAATCTATCTTACGATGAATTCAACACTATTGTAGCACAGGTGGAATCTTGTTTAAATTCTCGGCCCTTGATTCCACTTTCGGAAGATCCAGACGATCTCGATGTGCTCACTCCAGGTCATTTTTTGATTGGCTCATGTTTAATGGCTACACCCCAAGAAGACTTGAGACCATACAATACCAACAAGATAAAACGTTATCATCAGTTAACCCAGTTGATTCAACATTTTTGGGCAAAATGGTCCAAAGAGTACCTGTCACATTTACAACAGCGAGTCAAATGGAAATCAGCTTCAAATGTGTTGCAGCCAGGAATGATGGTTATTATTCAGGATGAAAATTTACCGCCATTGAAGTGGCAGCTCGGAAGAGTGACCGAGGTCCATCCCGGAGAAGATGGTGTAGTGCGTGTAGCATCAGTGCGTACCTCAATGGGTATCAAGACGAGAGCTGCTGCAAGACTTTGCATTCTGCCTTCAACTGATGATTCATGTCTTGAAAAAGACAATTGTTGAGACCATTTTATTTCATATTGTATAGGGCTTGTTCATTTGTTATATGTATTGAAAGTCGGTGCTTTCAAGGGGGCGGCATGTTTATACTTGTAACTAACTCAATAAGGAGCACTATGTATAATATCATGACCGTTCAGATTTCAGTTAGCTTTGACTGACAATTTTGACAATTTCCAAGGTAACAAAGATAATAAAAAAAGAAATGTAATCCAATTTTGCTCATTTCAATAAAACTAATGTATTTTCATATTTGGAGCATTATTGTGGAATAAATCAGTCGAGAAAGTCGACAATCAGTTATTTTGAGAAAGTATAATCTTCGGTATCGAGAGATATACGTATTGTGAACACTTCATACTGCTTAAAGATCATGAAGTACCACATCGTTCAACAATTATTGTCAGTGAAAATTCAATACAACATAATATTGCCTATTTTTCCTGCTTATCCTTCCTATTCTTTTTCGTGTCCTCCAAGAAATAAAAAAAAAACCTTTCTCGACATGAAAGAGAGGTAGAATAATTATTCTAGACCAATTAGAGGACGCGATACTGAAAGAGTGGATAGCTTTTTCTCAAAATTTCATCAATGGTTGGATATTTGGAAAAATGAAACAACATATTGACAATTGACAAGAACAATTGAAGTTGTAAGTATTTAATTGGGGTTGTGTTTGTATAGCAATGAGGATTTCTAATGTCTTGTGGAAATATTGTATTGATTATTATCTGCATTCCCAGTTAACACATATTGATCACAGAGATATCAGAGGATATCACATTCATGCCACACATCACATCCGTGACTCAAAATTTGAGTTCCACTGAAATCACAACTACTGCTTTTCCGGACCCTTCTGGTCATTTTATGATTCACATTCTGATGTCAAATAAAACTGATAGTATGTATTTAACGATTCCTCATTCAACATCAGATTTGTTCCGTTTGTTACATAAATAGACAAGAATGTGAGGTATTCACCTTTATTTTAAGTCTCAAATCCTATGGAATGTTTTGTGAAATGAAGAGTCTGCTGGCAATATACCAATGATGTTTTCTTGTGATTCGCATTGTTAGCTAGCGAGATATGAACGTGACATCCCAGAGATGTTAGTATTCACTGAGTTTTTTGATAGTATTTTTCTTCAATTTCACATTCTGTACCGGTTGTCAACGTATTTATTTAACTAGCTATAGTTTTCGGAGTTCCGATGGGGTTTTGGATTCGAGAGTTGTGAAATATTTCGATACTTCATACTTTCTCATCACTTCTGGTTCCACCGAAAATGAAATCATCTCTCTTCAATTTGCGAATGAAACTCATTGAGCATGTGAAAATTTTGAATGCAAATATATTCGTGATGCTCTGAAATAACCATATGAAACCCAGTATCATTTTGATTTCTTCATGATCATTCCTAACCACTCTCGTTTTCAATTTGAATCTCAGGAAATGTTATCGTTTTTGATCGGACCAGAAGTGATGGGCGAGTAGAGTAGAATGAGCCAATCTGAAATCCTGTTGAAGTTGAATTTATGTTGATTGAACATATCAGAATTATATTGTGAGAAATTCCATATATCAAATCAACCTGATTGAATTCTAGTGGATCGAAAACCATGTCGATAATAGTAGATTATACAACTAGAGAATAAGGTGGTATTCTGAATCCCTAGTAGACAAGAAGTTTATAGCCCGACCAACGAGAGAACAATCATTTGTCGAGGGATTCAAAAACATTCTAGTCCTGAGGTGTATATAATATTTTATGCACTCAAGGAAAGGTTGAACGTTGAAAATAATAATGGAAAATTAAATGGCACCAAACAGTGAGGACTCTATTTCTGATACGTCGTCAAAGGGGCTGATTGTTACCATATCAACTACCTCAGTAACTATGCGGATCCAGGTTCCGGGGATGAAAGTGGTACCTACTTTGAATCCCTAGGAATATGAAGTAACTTCAAATCCCTGATGATTCGAAGTACCTATCACTGTTTTTCCGCAAATAGGGAATGAAGGTAACTCTAGAATCTAAGGAGTGCATGAAACTCATTATGCTTCATCTAATCGCCCCCGATGAACATTAAAAAAACAGACGTTATATTCGTTGGAATGAGCTAATAGAATTTCGAAAGAAATTGAAAATTGTTCGATCCAATCCGAAGCGACGTATCGAAAATGATATAAATTTCATTTTCTTGATTAAGAAAGTATTTGTGAGATATTAAATGAGATAATTTGAATACAATATTCATTTTTGTCATTATTGAATCGTCTTGGATCACTCCAGGAGAATACTGATGCTATTTACACATTCTCAGAATAATTACTACCTATCATTTATTTGTGACCTACCTCAATAATTTCATCGAGAGATTATTCTATCGAATCAATATCATTATAATAAAAATAATAGTAATGATAACAATAATGATGATAATAATAATGATAATAATAATAATAATGAAAATGATAATGAAAATTATGATGATGATAATGAAAATAATGATGATGGTTATGATGATAATAATGATACATTCATTGTACACACACACATTGTACAGATATGACAAAAACTTTGCGAAAACAGATCATTTTCATGATAATATTCTGAAACAAATTTTCGTAAATGACCTCATACTAATCATATTATAATTTCCAATGATGGCAATGTTGCTTCAATATATAAAGTTGATTCATATTTCCTTTTCTCATACTCTCGAATGGATTTCAGGAATATATTCTGAATTCGAGTCGAGTGCACTAACTGAATTCAATTTCTTTCGAATAACCCTTGGATCTCCAACAAATTTTTGCCTTTAGTTTCGGGTACTTTGAAATATACGAAAATGTATCCCAACATACATATCGCACTATAAATCCAGAAATTCCATTGCATACCGAAAGAATTCATGATGATTGGAAACATGAATACCATTGTGGCTACAACTAAATTGTCGATGAATAATAACAGAGACATAGCCACAGAGATAACATTAGTAGGAAATACCTCACTAGCAATGACCCAACATATGGAGGCGAGTCCAAGTACATTCGATAAATAAAATAGAATGAGACCCACTATTGGCCAGCAAGATACATATTTGATGTATGATAACCCCATATCGTTCAGGTAGTAGAAAACGCCAATTGAAAACAACAAAACGGCGTTGCCCAAAGTTGATATAAGTAGCAACGTTCTCCTTCCATATCTTTCTGAAGTCTGAGTCGCTATAGAACTGAAAACTAACTGTGAAATAGACAATAAATTGATAGAAATATAATTTGGAACGCTTGAGCCAGCTTCGTTGAAAAGGGGTATCAAAAAACTCATTATAACAGGAGCTCCATTCGAGTATGCTATGAGATGCACACCAATACTGATAAAGAAAGCTGTACGTATAGCTCTCATGGAAAACATAGCGGAGAAACTGATATTTTCCGATTTGGAGGTTTCTTTGAGAATATATGAAATACTCGACATTTCTTTGCGTATTTCATTGCTGTTTTTTTTCCTCAGTTTCTTGAGTGCTTTGAAAGCCTCTTCTTCTTTCTTTCTGGAGATCAGATATACTGGTGTTTCTGGCAAAAATATAACCAAACATCCTACAGATAGCATTAATGGAATGCAACATGCTAAAGTGAATAGTTCGAATGAAGGTATGAAAGAACTGATGAGATAGCTGCAGACATTTCCTAATGGCATACCAAGTGTACCGAAACAAACCAGTTTCGTTTTATGGTGGTCCTCGCCTATCTCCGTCAAGTAAATTCTACCAGCTACTTGCGTTCCTCCTAGACAAAAACACATGATGATCATGGGGATGAATATCATATAAATATTAGTAGCGAATGCAAGAAAAATTTTCATTATTACTATCGTGACATTCAACATAATCATCGCAGTTCTTCTTCCTAATGAATCGCACGTTCTTCCGAGCAATATTGATCCAAAAAGAGAACTGAAGGCTGGAATGGCACTTATCGAGGAGAGTTGTATTGTCGATATTGCTGCGCCTACTGGATTTTCGTTTGTATCATTCGAAAGGAGTTTCTCTGCTACTGGTGATATCCATACCACAGCAAAGCCCATTTCCACTGAGCTGACCATACAAGCTGAAAACATTTAATTTTTCAATTTCCTCACGATACGGCATCTATTGGTTTGCATCATAAATAACTGAAGGCTGATTATAATATGCAAACTATTGCCTATAAAGAATGAAAAGATTTTGTTTTGCTTGATGAACGATTGAAATCACTGAATCATGTGCGTAGGTTCAATGAGCTGAAATAGGTACTCAGATATGACTTCTGTCAGGCTGCAAACATCTAAGGAGATATACAGGGTGGCATTGAAGCTGCTATTGAGTGGCACCGATAAAAAAATGTAGGGATCAAAATCGAATTTGAGGTTAAAACCCTTCTTCCACCCAAAGTTCAACACTGTAGCAATTCTGACGTTACCGTAGTTCAAATTTTTGGAAGACACAATCACGCGGATTCCAATCATTCAAATTGTTTTAAAGTGGCTACTAGATTTTTTTCTTGTTTTTTGATCGATTCTCTGGATGAAATTTATTGTTGGTCAGCAGAGTTACGAAAAATTTTATATCATGGGAATGTTCGTTAGACTGTATCATATTGATCTGCTGATTATATGTACTTATTTCAAAAACACCTTATATAAAGTATTCCAGAACCTATCATCGGAGGTTCTGTTCACTGATTCATCATTCTAAAATGCCGATCAGATTTGTGTACCCATCACATGCCATCACACAATATAATGTGCCAGTGAAGTTGCGTTCTTATTGATAGATTCAGAACTATGTGTAGATTCGTATTGTTGAAATCCTCTGTCAGTTGCTTGCAGAGGAATTATACCAGAACATCAGGTGATTCCTTGCACCTCTTGAGGAGCCTTTTAATCGAATTCTCATGAAACTTCAAGAAACAATAAATCGGACAACAAGTTGTCCTAGTGAAGAAAGATTAATAATGAGAGGTGGTGGGGGTACGATTGTGACATTACACAGTAGATTCGAAGAAAACAAGTTGACTAAATCACATTTCCTTGTCTAATTTTAATTTTCCAAATAGCAACCACTTTTTGACAAGCACTATTCGAAAAAAGGGTTTCTTGACAAATCCAACGATACCTACTGAATTATTTGCGATTTGATTGAAAACAGGAACACAGATATTCGAAATAACTAAGGAAAACACTCGATATTCATTTATCCACATTCTTCAAGTGTGCCTCAAATAGCCATGCTGCATTTTATTTTGCAGTAATTTTTTTTGTCTTTTCTCCAAAAAACTTAACAACCTGATAATGACAGTGATATAAGCCTTTTGAGCAGACAGTGAAAGTTTTTTTTTTTCGTTGAATCAGAGTTCAATTTTTTGTCTGAATCATGTAAAATCGAAGTGAAAAGTGAATACCTAATTGTTTCGTTCTTCAAAGAAGACTCAAGAACAACTACGGCACAATTTTGTGATCAGGGCTATCCATGGCACACTCGTGAAATATGATGTCTAAAATTATTATTCTTCAGATGGCAACTATTTTTTGACGAGCACAGTTCGAAAGAAGGGTTTTTTGACAAATCTAACGATACCTTCTAAATAATTTGCGATTCGATTGAAAGCAGGAACATGAATTCGGAATAACTAAGAACAACCCTAGATATCTTTTTATTCACATTTGTCAAGTGTGCCATTGTTAGCCATGCTGCATAATATTTTGCAGTTATTTTTTTCAACTCTTCTTTATTGGACAACAGAACACTCTGATAATGACAGTGATATAAGCCTTTAGAGCAGACAGTGGAAGTTTCTTTGTTTCCGTCGAATTCAAGTTCAATTGTCTGTCTGAATTATGTGTAATCAAAGTGAAAAATAGATACCTGATTGTTTTGTTCTTCAGAGAAGGCTCAAAAAAAAATTACGGAGAAATTTCATGATCATGGCACACTCGTGAAATCTGATGTCTTATTATTATTCTTCAAATGGCAACCATGTTCTGATGAGCAGTTTTCGAAAAAAGGATCTTTTGACAAATTCAACGGAACCTACTGAACTATTTGCAATTTGATTGAAAACATGAATTTTATGATAACCCAAAAGCTTAAGAATGAAATTTGCTGAGGTAACATAATATTTTATATAATTTCCTAGGCTTTGGGTCCTTTTTTGTTCATATCAATTATATTATGAAAAAGTTGACCTTCCCGAAATATATTCGCGTGTTTAATATTATGTTTCTTCCTGTGATTGGTGTATTTTTTTGTTTGTATGTGGGACATGTGACGAAGGACTATTTAACTGAAATTGATTTTTTTTGACGACAAGCTTATTTTGTTCGAATGGATGAAAAATTTCAATTCATTCGAAAATATTGGTTATATGATGGTAAATGTTACTTAGATTGCTTATGTCAGTTCTTTCGTTTATTGTATTGTTGTCTTTTTCAATGTCAATCATTGCTTTGATACATTTTTTGTCGTAGTTTGTTTCATGTGATAGTATTCTGACTTTATCGTTATTTACTATGTCATCATTATCAGTTGAGTGTTTTGTAAGTGCTGTTGGATTTTGTGTGCTATAATAATAGCCTTCAAATCTTTTTTCTAGATATTGTGTTGTATTTCTACTTAGGTTCCATGACAATCATTGCATAGGATTGATTAAACTGAATTAAAATTTTCAATAGTGGTGTTTTGCTTTTCAGGTTTGGGAAAAAATTGTATGCTTTGTGGCTCACATCTATATTGAATTGAGACATGTGTAATTTTTTGTGATAGTCCGTTTATGTATGGCATTGGAATAGTGTTGTATGTTGAACTCTTCAGTTTTTTTTACTGCGATTTGTTGTAAAATCTATGTAGGTACTCTGTGTTATATGGTTTTGTTGATAAGCTTCATGGGGTAATTATCATTGATTAATGTTGATTTCACTCTGTTTATTAACTGTTCTTTGTATTGGATGTTACTTGAATGTATTGCTCTATCAACTAGGCCAGTGATTACATTTTTTTATGTTAAATTGGGTGATTTGAATTGAAATTCATATATTCTCTAGAACAAAATAACCTTGCCAAAAAAAATCAATTTCAGTTAGAGACAGTCTTTACCAATACAAACACGGCTGTTTTAGTATATCTACCACTGCCACCAATTTTGAAAAATACGAAGTTTCTAGTCCTTTGTCACATGTCACACTCCAGAAATTGAATTTCACACATCCAACCAAAAAATACAAAAATTACAGGAAAAAAATAATATTGAACACGCTTTCGTCAATTTTCAATATAGAAGATATAACGAGAAAAAACAAGTTATTAATTATGAACAAAAAGGAAATATACAAACGAAAATTGCTACTTAAGAAATAGCTCTGCTTGAGATACGTACCTAACAATTTCTGCCTACTTATATTCCCAGTGGCGTAATTAAGATTAATTCCTGGGATGGTTCTAGGTCCAATATCCAATATTTAAGAAGAAGAAAAACAGAACGTAACTTTCGTAGGTTTCAATAAATGTGTGCATCATTTGGAACCAATACCAAAATGAAGAAAAAATATCGAAAAATGATCAAATATTATCAGATATCAATTGACAGGTACAAACATTGAAATGGAAACAAAAAAAATCAAAATAACAAAAAAAAATCGCAGAATTTAGTTACTGAAGAAAAGGAAAATTTGAACTGTATCATTTTTCTTTGTTGGTATGAAGATACCAGTTTTGGGGAGATGGTGACAAGAGTTGATTCAAAATTCGATGTAAATATCTTGGGTACCTACCTATTGTTGTTCATACAATGGCGTGGCCTGAAATGCTCCTTCTTCGAGCTATAGTCATTGTGAGTTGGGTAAAAAAACGAGATTATCTGAAATTGTGATCATAATATAACGAATCAAGTGCAAGTATCATAGTACCGCACGCTCTGAAATAGCATCAGTCTCAAATGCGTTCCCACATAATGATAATAATAATAATAATAATGAATCGTCCTTATTTATGTGATTCCATGATACACCAACATATAATAAAGAATTGTACAATAATTTGTACAAAGAAGAAAAACATTGTTCACTGTTCACTGTCCAGCAGGAGGCGAGATTTAGCCTAAGGCTACTCTTACATCTAATATCTCACTGTCCAATTGGGAAGGTGTCTACATTACTTAGAGAGAAAAAAAGAGGATGTGTACATAATATTCATATTGAAGAGCGTAACAATACTCATTGTGGAGAAAGTAGCTCATGTTTAATGAACTTTCGGAAGGAGAATGGACCAAGGCTTTTAATGCGTTCTGGGATTGAATTGAACGACTCAATTGCATTATATGTGAAACTTCTTTGATAAATGGCGGTCGAATGATGAGGCATCGTCAATGCATTGGGATGTCTTATATTAACTGAATGTATGCTACGATCACCTTCGGATGCAACCGTTCGAAACCAATGCAAATTGCAAGATACCTACCGGATTCTTGAATTTTTCTATGCCCCAAGATCATGAAATTCAAAGTCAGATAGTTTCTCTTTTGTAATATAAAATTTGGGCCATCAAAAAGGTGGACCTTCTCCATACCTTCCTCAAAACTCGGTTGACATCATTTACATTTTTTAAGCGAAAGAAAATGGATGAATGTCCAAAAAGACAAGGGCATGCCAATTTTCAGAAGATGTAATCCGTTATTTTAGATAATCTCTTTTTTTTTTCATCTTACAGTGGCTGAAGCTAGGAGAAGGTGCATTTATAGACACATGTTTACATGGAGAAAGTCATATTCTGACCCCAACAATATGTCCTCAAAATATTTACATCGAATTTTGAATTGTCCTGTGCATGGGTGTTTCAATAAAAAACTTGTACACATGTTGCACTCGTGAGGAATTACCACAAAAATTCATGGTTTTTTCTCATTTTCTTTATCTCCCCACAACTACAATCGTATACGTTTCCAATGACAATACGATTTTCGTTCGGAAGGTTCTAATAAATTCGGAAGGTTCTAATAAATTCCAAATGAAATTCTCATGGTCCAGACCCCATGGACCCCCTCCTTAATTACGCCACTGTATATTCCTACAAAAACTACAAAATACATACAACACGAGACTGTATCTACTTGATTCATTTCAGTACCAGTGAATTCCATTTGAAAAATAAAAAATGTAAGTTGAAGAAGCCTATGGCCATTAGCGAAACGTTTCACATGATACAATAAAAACATTTTTTCTGTGACGGGAAAAAAGTTTGGCATTTCATCCCTGTTGGCAGGTTATAAAATGTCACTTTTCATAAATTACTTTTTTCCCGTGGGAAAAAAGTGAGTACTTCTTTCCCGGATATATATCACATATATATACACTGCTGATGGCTTTTGTTGTGCTATAGTTCCGAAAAATGAGTCAATAATACCGTCTCCGAGAAAGAACTGCAAGTCCTTTCATCTTCCATTCGACTTCGCGGTTATGTGTATTGCTAAATAACCACTGAATTCGCAATTTCTTGAAATAAAATCACAAAATTAGACTGACAGAAGTGACATCAGATTACTTCAAAATGAATGATAAAGATGCCTACAACGCGGTGTCCCTACTGTTAAAAACTTAAAATTTCACGTCGATAATTTTCAGATATCAAAATGATGTAATATCTTCTCAATATTGATTCGTCCTTTCTTCTGTCACAGAAAAAAATAGTGTATTATACACGGGAAAAATATTAGATTTTAGCTCACGGTTTGTTGTCTCCCTCCGCTACGCGTCGGGAGACAACACAACCTGGAGCTAAAATCTACTACTTTTTTCCCTTGTATAATAAATAACTATTATTCACTAAATCCCAAACCCAAGAACTGTTGCCACTATAGTCAAGAGTGAGGTATAGTTTGAAAATACAAAATATTATTCAAATTAGAAGAATTTCCGATGAATCACCGATTTATCGTGAAAACACCATATCAACCTGAGGCAGTTCAACTTCCTGCAGTTCCTCAACAAAGCCTATACTTGACGAGTATATGAACAAATATTTCTTGAAGAATTTTTAACCAATCTTTCGAAAAATAAATTATCACCCTGTAAGAAAGGTTCACGATCTGCTGTCGGCTAATATGTCCATACATATAAAGTATCCGAAGACGACTAACGATTTTGATGGAAGAAATGTTCATAAGTAAGTGAGATGACTTATATTGTGGTATACAGGGTGATTCACGGTGGATGGCCTATAAGAAGTATCTGGAGAACTAAAAGAGAGAACATTCTGAAAATTGCTTGATGCTTCGATAATTGAACATTGAAACAGTTAGCAACTTTGTTATTTCAAATGGAACACCCTGTATTTTATCACATTTTCAGATTCTTCCTGGAGAGCTGATTTCATTAATGTATCACACTTGGGTTCTAGCAGGAATGATTACAGAGATATAGGGTGTTCAAAATCAGGATTTTTCAATGTTAAGATTTTTTTGTGTCGAAACTATTCATTATCGATCAAAACGGTTCACATGTCCCTATCTCAACTTTTGATTCACTGTCTACTGACATTCAATTGGAACAGATACAGGGTGATCAGAATTCTGAATCTTGAAGCACCCTGTATGTTTTTCAATTAAATTCCAGTTGATAGTGAATCAAAAGTTGAGATAGGGACATATAAGCCGTTTTGATCGATAATGAATAGTTTCGACACAAAAAAATATTAAAATTGAAAATTCTCGATTTTGAACACCCAATATCTCTGTAATCATCCTTGCTAGACCCCAAGTGTGCCATATTGATGAAATCAGCTCTTCAGAAAGAATCTAGAAAGGCAATGAAATACAGGGTGTTCCATTGGAAATAACAAAGTTGTTGGTTGTTTCTTATAGAAGTGGCAACACTGTATCGATGAAAATATTTCGATCGGATAGAGAATGTTCAATCATCAAAGGATCCCAATTTTCAGAATGTTCTGTCTTTTCGTTCTCCAGATACTTCTAATAGGTCATCCACCGTGGATCACCCTGTATAAACGAGTAGGTATGACAAAGATTGTAAATGAAGAAGAAATGAATTTCAAAGTGATACCTTCTGGTATGATTGTGAAATGACCTCTTTCAGGATCTGAATGATCTTTCAAATTCCTTTTAATTTCCATCTCCTAACTTTAATCTTGTTTCATTTCAAATCTATTGAGTAATCTTTTCAAAACAAGAAGAGTGATTTGGGAAAGTTACCTGTGGCACGTCAAAAACGTTGACTTCACACTTTCATCAGATGACATTTCGTGGTTGACATTTTTATTTTAGTAGTTATATATAGGATGTTCTTGAATAGAGAATTGTTCGCGGTGTATATATAAACATTTTTAGTACTCACCAACGATTGCAGAAAAGTATAGAAATGGAGATATGCCATGTTGGATTTCTTCATTATTTGAATCAATTTGTTTGATCAACTCAGCATTGGCATTGGGTTTTGGAATGTACGTGATTTCTTCAATTTCAACCTCTTCATTATTGATCATTTTGAATGATGACAACGATCATTTAGTTTCACAATTGGAAGTTCACAGTTCACTTCATCTGCAGATTGCAGGCTTGTACGATTGAATTATTGGAACAATTTCATGATAACAATAGTAATTATCATCTTTTATCAGGATTATTAATGAACACCAGAAGTAAAATTGTAACAATAGGACTTTATTAAATAAATATATACAGACATACTTTTCCAAGGCTTTCCCATTATAATATGAATAGTTTCTTATTTTATAAAATCTATAGTTTCATGCACATAAAAATAAAGTGTTTGGACGGAATTCAATCAAAGTACATACAGTGAGGTCCGAAAGTGCGTCGCCCCCACGTAACTATCGAAGCTTGCAAGAAGTCATAGGATATGAGAGTGAAACACATTGTGTTCAATTTTTCACGGTTTCCTCACTAAACTGGTGCACAAATAGATGGACTGATAATCTACAAGTGCTCTCGATACCAAAACCTATTATTTTTCATGATAAGAAATCATCCGAAATATAACAGGAAACAAAAGAACGCAATGATGTAATATTTAAAATTAACAGGACTTCCAACTCGCTGAGCATTTTCCGGAGTCTCTGTATGAATCAATTTCAAACGATTCAATATAACAAATAAAACGGAATATCTGAAATGTTCTTGATATATGTAAAATGACAAGGAGGACAGGGAGGACAACAAACTTTTGGTCGTCACTGTATAACTAGAAGTGGTATTTCAAACACTGATTCAATTAGCATTAATATAATGCTAATGATTCTCCAATACGAAGCAGAAATCGAGAATGAAATAATACAGTTTCGGAATGGTTTATCAACATTTAGGCATATAAGTCGGTGAAATCTAGTGATTTCTTCTGAACCATAATATTATTTATAGATTCTCGATATTATTCAATTGTTGTAGATATATGTTTTCTTTTCCTTCCAATTTGAGAATCAATGGCCTCCATACTCAAGCATAACAAAAAAGACTAATTTTTTTCGAACATGTTTTTCGCATTGTTTTTATCAAATGTTATGAATGAGAATACGGAAACATACTGGGTGTTCCATAATAAGCGTGCAATAATTAATTTGACAGTATATTCCTCGACCAAAAAAAAATGTATAGGAGATGTGAAACTTAGTTTCATGACAGTGTTATAGAGGGCCTAATATGTGAACTCGATATGAATCATTTATGTATTCTTTCTGAAAAACTATTCTTAATTATGATTTTGATCGAATCAGCAGCAGAATGTATCAAAACAAAGAATGGTGTACAATCAAATTGGGTCATCAAAATATCTAAGAGAATGTTATTTTTTATTCGTTAGAATATCCGTTTTCTGCTCATTATTAACTGGAATCGAATCAAACAATCCACGTATTTTTTATTCCAGTGGTGAAAATGGTGAAATTGTGGGAATAGTTGCTAACAAAAACATTAGTTTACACCTCGTCTACACTAATCGTTCCCTGATTGATACTTCAGATTTCGTTTCAAATTCAAAAAAAAACAAAACAAAAAACATCTCCAAGAAAGCTTCTTCAAGGGCCTTCACTTTTTTTTTATAGGAGCCATTTTTAGAACTTTCTGATTCTGAATTATTTATTTATTTCTGGTTGTGTAACGTACTTCCAAAGTAATGCACGTTAATTATGGTATATCCAGAGTAATTATTTCAATCGATCAAGGCTGTAGATCAAAGTTGAGAATGAAAATGATTCGAGATCAAACAGATCAACTTGAATGCTTCTTTATGAGAGGAAAATGGACCGAGAACCTCTTTGCCTAGGCGTATAGGTATAAAAGAAATATTAATTATCAGCTCTCGCCATGTTAATAATGAAAACTGATATTAGTACTGAAGTGAAACAACTGTTATCTAAGATAGGTACACTGTAAAGTATTCTAAAATGTGTCTGTTTGAAAACTTAAATTGGCCTTGCCTCCGCCGTTTTTATCATCTGGTTTTTCATCGTCTTCTTCCTTATGTGATGCCCAAGACTGTAGTTCTCCAGATGCAAAAAATCCATAAAAAAGTGTTCCAAATATGTAGATCGCTGATGCCACATAAAATACAACTCTCCACTGATCTGCACTAGTCTGAAATGAAAATATGCAAGAAAAAATATCAGGAATAGAGAACGTTTTCGCTCACAACTCTCATCATCTGATGATTTCAGATGAAAATAAAAAATGCTATACATACTCATTATTGAGTTGTTCACCAATGTAAACGCCGAAATTTAACGGAGGAAATGATGAATCAAATTTCAACAAAGCATAGTTACCATCATCATATTGGTCTATGGAGAGATCTTTGTTTACATATCACTCAATCGTTGGTTGATTATTCATGAAATCATTTGTGCGACGTTAAAATGACGACCGCAACTGCCGTTATTTTGCTTCGACGATTTTTCACTAGTCATATATCCCTCAGACATTGTTACTGACGTATATTTGTCGATTATATCACCAAATTGATACGTCATTCCGGCGTTACTGCGTTTTATTGAAAAAAAATTCTGACTTCAAATTACACGAGAGCTTTTTTTTGTTCAAATGAATTTGACATTTCGGAAAAAAAAATTGCATGAGAATTGAACAAAGTGAAATTGTCTACAAAAAATTACGAGTTCAAAGGAAGTTGAATATCCTAAAAGCAACAAAACTCGAATTTTAATTGTCAAGTTAACTTCCAGCTAATGAAAATATGCCTGATTAGTGAGTGTGCTTCCTGAGAACGCAAGTTTCATGATAATCAACAGAAACATCATGAAAGATTCGATTTCAATTGTCGTTGTCATGCTTTTATATGTTAGGTTCCGTTCTGTCGCTAAAAAAATTAGGGAATACTGTTTTCAATGTCAGAATGACTTAGATTTTACAGCGGCATATGGAATTTCTCAACCATGAATTGAATTGTTACGAGGAAGGCATATATGCATGAACATGCCAGGGTCTCTCCTTATAATTTGACCCCTATGCCAACATCACCTGCAACTATACAATGTCGAAAGGTGGAAAAAAACGCCAATTGAGAAAGTTGAAGGGTTTTATCTGTACTATATTTTGTCACTCTTATAACAAAGGAATGCGAATCGCAGAAAGATAAGAAAATGTCCAAATATTTTTTTTCATTGAAACACCCTGTATATTTCGACCCCAAGTGTTCACACATATCATATATAGTTTGCTCATGTTCCCTTGTGTCGTTGTCGACTGAACTCTCGCTGCGATACTCGATTATTTGCAAAATTTTCATCACAATGTTTCGTATTTTTCCTCTACTTTTAACCCATTTTGATTGAAGGAACCGCCAGGGATTCTCAAAAACGCCTGTTCTATCTCCTTTGCTCTCTGTTGTGTCCACAGCCATCTGAATGTTACCCATTGCCAATTTTGATTCAATATAGTAAAAACCAGATAAATTGAGAACTGCCCAAAGATCATTTTCAAACTTTAAAAATTTATGAATAGACAAAAATCGTTGCAGCAGGGTATCCTACATTTGGAAAAACTGATTTGTTCAAGAAGCGCTATGAAATACTACAGATCATATACATTTCTCATATTCGAAGCAACTCGTATAGTTGAAGCTGTAGGTAGGAGTCAGAATATAAGGAGACAGCCTCCGTACAATCGAATTTGGAGATGGTTTTTGCTGGTATACAGTGTGTCCCACTTACCATGCTCACCATGGTTATCTTTTCAACGTTCAGAGATACGAAATCGGTTGAATGACACCAAATATGGGGTTTGTCAAGGCCAACTATAATGTGAAAAAATATTCTGATAAAATCTATTCGTTTTTGTTTCATACGCAAAAAACTGATTTTGATCATTTTCATGTATCCTCCGTAACTTCTTTATTTATGAAAATATTCAAATAGGAATTCCACATTCTCATGGCAGTTTTTCAAAGTGATTTCGAAAAAAATATGAAATTTTATACCAACTCTTCTAGAATTTGAGACATCAGCAGCAACTTTAGTTTCTCGAATGTAGGTCTTAGCTCACTATGACTTAGTTACAAATAACTTTTTCTTCTATTACAGATGATATGTCGCAGTAATAGGTTTGTGTTGATAACAACGGAGTTATCGTCATTCATACAAAAACAAAAAATTATGTGTATGCCGCCATCTCGAATTTATAAATGTTAACAAGGAAATCATGATCTCCGACCTCAAAAACCCCTACTCACCAATTTTGAATGGAATCGGACCAAAACTTGTCCTCCATCTTAGAGGAGCCATTTTTTTTAATTTCAACAAAAATTCCATAACTCTGATTAACTCGAAATTTGGCAGGTGTTCATAATTTCGGTGACAATACATCATGACATTTTTAATGAAATTCAAAAAAATGGCTGCTCCAAGATGGCGGACAAGATTTGGTCCGATTCCATTCAAAATTGATAAGTGGGGGCTTTTGAGGTCGGAGATCATGATTTTTTCATTAAAATTAATGAATTCAAGATGGCGGCTTCCAAATATTTTCTTGTTATTGTATAAATGACGATAACTCCGATGTTATCAACACAAAACTATAACTGCGACATATCATCTGAAGGAGAAAAAAAAGTTATTTGTAACTAAGTCATAAAGTGAGCTATGACCTACCTTGAAAAACTAAAGTTGCTGCTGATATCTCAAATTCTAGAAGAGTTGAAATAAATTTCATATTTTTTTCGAAATCACTTTAAAAAACTGTCATGAGAATGTGAAATTCCTATTTGAATATTTTCATAATTAAAGAAGTTACGGAGGAGACATGAAAATAATCAAAATCTGTTTTTTGCGTATAAAACAAAAACGAATAGATTTTATCAAAATATTTTTTCACATTATAGTTGGCCTTGACAAACTCCACATTTGGTGTGATTGAACCGACCTCGTATCTCTCACCGTTAAAAAGATACCCATAGTGAGCATGGTGAGTGAGACACACTGTATAGGCAAATTGATGTTAATTCAATTAGAATATTTGCCATTTGGTCACATTTCCTGAACTATACTCACCGTATCAGTGACGATATAGCCTGTCAGAATAGGGCTGATTATTCCAGGAACACTTCCTATACTGTTACTGATTCCGAAAAGAATGCTAGCAAACTGTGGGGCGATGTCTAGATGATTGACCCTGTAACAATGAAATGAATGTCGATGCTCGAATATTCATTGTTCATGCATATCTTGTGAGTGATTTTGTGATTCAGCTCTCGTGGCAAAAAAAAGATCACCTAGCTTTGGAGAGGAAAGAATTAGATTATTTTGTATCAAAAATGCGAAATCACACATTCGCGTTCAAGAATGAGATTCATGTTGCCTAATTTTCCCGGTAAAATTACCATTTGAGGATGCAAAAGCATTTCGCATTCGTGATGCAAACAATATTTTTCCGAAAGCTCCATCAACAATAATATGAGAATGAGAAATAGTTATTGAATGCAAAAAACCCATCCGCTCAATAGTTAACCAGGAGGGGGGGGGGGTGACTTTATGGACATAGTGTATATATATCATTGCTAATTAACATTTTGTGTTTCTTACATATCGAGAATTGTTTAACATTCATACGTTCTACATCGCAAGAATACCTACACTGAAAGAATTTTTTATCAGCAGTTAAAATAAATTGAAAAGCCAGTGCGAATCATCTACATTGAAGAGGGGCTAAAGCCGAGGCTAAAGCAATTCATTCGCTGAACTAAATAGATTGAGTTTGCAAAGAGAACTTCATTAAATCAAAATAGAATATTGCCTTGTTCAAATCCTGCCTGGTACAAATAGAGATTTGGCTGTGAGTAATGGGTCGTACGGACTTGAATCAAATAGATTGACTAATTTACAATACTCTTATACTTTGTAACTACTGATAGATCGTCGATTAGCTGCTACAAATTTTGTATGTATTATTGTAGATAGATGAGTTAATTGTCATAAGATTTCCTAACAGCTTCAGTAGGGTCGTGTGATTTGTGTGTCGGTCTGTACTTAAAGAAAACCTATGTTCAAATCAGTTGAAGTTTCACCTATTCATCGAAGAATCCATATAAGAGACTGAATTAAAAATTGTAATCAACAGTTATGATTGAAAGAAAATATCTGAGAAAAAATCATATATAAAATTGAATAATATAGATTTGTCTCATGTCATTACCGCTCCTTCAGTGATCATAAATTATATTGTTCGAAATACAGTCCCCAACTCGGGTTTGCTTCGATGAATAGGCCCAACGTCAACTGATCGAAACAGTATAGGTTCCTTCAAAAATAGACCGTTTTTCCGACTATTCTGTACAGGCTGTTTTGAATTGACTGTATATGCATTATGGTATCTTGTTGATATTTGCACTGAACAAAACGAAACACACATCTCCATATTTTCAATTTTGACAACATTCGAATAGCAACGATAACCACTGATGAGTTACATGAATGTTTGTCATTTGAGTCATCGTCACAACAGACTTTACAAGCTCTGTCAATACTGACGAAAATTGAGGAGTAGACTGAAAGGTAACTATCTTCACTATTGACTTCAAGAAATAATTTTTTTTATCGCCTGGAGCGCACCAAAGGAAATCCCTATAATGTTCAAAGAACATCGTGCGTTCCTAGGAAGGATAGGGACAGGAAGTAGGTTTTGGATTTTTTTTGAACTTCTGGAGATTATATGCTGTTGGGAAAACTTCTATATGGATGAAGAAGTTTTGATAAAGTGCTGTTCGACATCTTTCGAGGTTGACAACGAAAGGATGTGCTGACTGGGCTTGTCTAGTTCGTCTGACTGGTATTGCTAGTGAAGGGATGATAGCAGAGATTTCCGAAGAACATTTCCCGTGAATCGATAGAACAGTGAAAGGTCGCCGACCTTCCTACGGTGTTTCAATGATGTCAAAGAGTGAGTGAGTATGGCGTCACCCACCAGGCGAATGGCTCTTCTCTGGATGGAATCTAAGAGCATCAGCGTATGTTTTGGTGCTGAACGCCATATGTGGGAACAGTGATTAAGCGATTAGAATTCTTTGTCTTATCATAGCGCAAATATCAAGGAAGATATCCATATTCCACGATCACAACCCATTCGAATGACTCTAAACACGAAACACTACACTACACACACTGATATTTGAAAATAGATCGTAGATTCGTAGAATCTTATCAAAGACGAAAAGTAGTTGGATTGAAAATCGCCAACCCCGAGTTGGCATCAACATCCAATAGTATTGAACGATTGAATCAAGCTCTATTTGGCTGATGAACATGAATTATCAGGTGGGGATTTGTGAAGCGCATTCGCTCCTCGACAAAATGAAGAGGCTACAATTCAACGCTGAGTTGATTCAAATTCATCACAGCAAGGTTCATAAATGAGAAATTGATGAATATCCTAGACCAAATAGACAAACAATTCAATTCTATTGAAATCGTTCTTAATGAAGTCAATCTGTAGAATACATATTTTTGAAACTCACTTTTTTGTACAATCAACTCTCCGAATGATTCATTTTCAAAATCATTCACTTTGAAAAGCTGTTTTCTTGAAAGCGTTGTTTTATGTATTACATTTTTTTCTTGATTTACATCAAAAATCTACCTACCTAGCTTACGTATCTATAATCAAACTATCAACATTATCAACTTGCGTCAATAGCGACGCCTCAAAATGTGTTTGCAAAATTAAAAATGAAACACTTATATGTTTATCTTCGGAGCTGCTTTGAATGTGTTCTTCAGCAATCAGCAGTTGACCAACAATGCTTCTGATTCATGGCATAGGAGATTTTTATCTCTAATCATTGCTCAAAAATCGTCCATCTCTCCAATTTCCTGGATAAAATCGAGAAGGAACAATGCTCGACAGAACCCACAATCGCGGAATCTATTTCTGGACAAGAGCCCTCCAAGAAACAGTATTAATCTTTGGATCAGAGACTCCGCAATATATGTTCATTATTTATTCTGATGAAACTTGTTATGATGATTATTGCATTACATCTTTGCAACATATTGTCCATGTTTGGTGATGTTACCTGTGATATGTTTTTGAATCGTATAAATTGAACTTGTTTTCGAAAACTTCTTTCTGTCAAGAAGTTTGGAATTTTATCTTGTAGCACTTCCTATAACACATGTTTGCTGATTATGAACCTTTGAAGCTTCAAAATATGTCCGAATTTCAAATGAAGTTTAGTTTTGGTGGAGTTGTCTGTCCTGCGATGCGTTTCCTGTGTTTTCTGCGACTCAATGTGCGCATGGACTCACAGGTGTTTTGACAGTCTACATTGTATGAATTGAACTTGTTTTCAAAAACTCCTTTTTGTCAAGTTTGGAATTTTATCTTGTAGCACTAACAAAAATGTTTGCTGATTATGAACCTTTGAAGCTTCAAAATATGTCCGAATTTCAAATGAAGTTCAGATTTGTTGGAGTTGGCTGTCCTGCGATGCGTTCCCTGTGTTTTCTGCGACTCAATGTGTGCATGGACTCACAGGTGTTTCGACAGTCTACAGAATTGTGACATGGTGTTTTTCTGTCAGCATAGACGTAGGTGTCTGTGCAAGACTTACTCGCAAGGTATGATTGTTGAGCAATCTACGTATTCACCTTAGCACTTTGGCCACTAGATGGCTCAGAAGGCTAGATCGCCCATCTTTCCACTCCAGGAAGCGGAAGCTATTTTTATTGACTGGTTACTGGTTCAATCTACCATTATACTCGTAGTATATCAAAGGAAATCAGGAAGATAATAAAAAAAAAACCTGTTATCGATAACTCAATCGATAACGTAGTCTGGTAGGTGAAAGTGCATTGAAAAACATACTAAAAGTTCTTACCCGTTGGGAAGGAGCGTTTGAAAGTAATTCCTTCAAGTTATTGTTGAATAATTCCAACAAGACAATTTAGGTATGAGTACAAACTCGAACATTATCGAATTCAGTAAATTGAAGGTTCCATTCGTCTTTCGTCAACAATGAATAATTAGGGAGATACAGGCAATGAAAAGAATTGAAAATTATCAAAAATAGGGTTCAATGTTATGAAATTGGTGTGTAACGTGAAAAGTATTGTATACGTTCCAAGAGTTATCTTTTTCTCGATCCAGCATCAACGGTGCAACATTCGTTGGACAATGGAATTCCAGTTTTCCGGCACTCACATCGTCCTCCAAATCCAGTAGAACATTGGCAGAAGATGCTGTCCACTATTGTTTTGTCTGGTTCATCCCTATTTTCTCATGATACTCAGGAATCAACCTACTGCTCCCCACTAGAGGAAGTCGCTCTATAGCAAAATTCCTCTGATGACGAGCAGATTCCGGCTGCTCCAGAAGACCCACCATCTGACTTTGCTGGAACATAATCAGTAATTCTTCGTTCTCGAGTCAGGCCACCTTAGCTTTTAATGAAGCGCATCAGAATCCGCTTCAGGGCCATGTGTGAGCAAATTTCTGCTCAACGTGGAGCAGTTTGATTCGAATACATTTGGGTGGCTAGTCTTCGATGCAAGCATGTCCTGAATGTGAAGGTGAGCACATTTTGCGTATCGAAGGTGCATGAAAAAGTGTTATCGTCTGAATACAGACGAATTGACCAGGCCAATCCCTACAGCCCTCAGAATCTATGAACTTTTACATCGATGCAACCATGATGAAATACACCCCAGGTAGCACGAAGAGGACCTGAAGATATCTTGGAGATATTCCTCTAGAAAATTGTGATGCCTCTTGTAACTTCTTCAAAAGATCGCCAAGAGCACTGTATCTCCTCCAAATGTCTGCCACCTAGGATGAGATCAGCGAGGTCCTTAAGACATCCCACGCAATGAATTCTGATACAGTGCCCTCAGGCGAGCACTATGGGCAATTGCAACTGGCAAGGTCTTAAGGTGCTGGCAACTATGAGCTCTTTGAGATATTCGCATACATAGCTGTGTGACGAGGACATTGTGAGATTTGCATCAATTGCTTCTGGCGAGGTCCTCAAGTGCTCGTGGCTACGAGTTGTTTGAGATATTCGCACGCATAGCCTTGTGGAGAAGACTTTGGCAAACTCGCATCAATTGTAAATGCGTTCGCAACTATAAGTTGTTCAAAAATCCGAATCAGATCGCCTTATAACGAGAAGGAGTGATATTTGCGTCTATCGCCACAAGAACGCCACTGATATTGTGTTGTGGATTGTGATGTTCAATATTTGGGAGTCATTGGTCGTCAACAGTCTCCTATCGGCGTTGTCTGACTAGCGCCAGCTATATTTTTCGTGGTGAAGTTAGATTTACTCGATATTTGTTTCAGCGCCGAAGATTGAATTACCGAATTTCTGGATTACCTTATTGTATTCCAATTGTAATATTATAGAACGCAGTATTCCTCTTCATACCATTTCAACTAGGTTCATTTTTATAATTGAGGTGGAATGTTCTTTTTTCTAGATTTCTCCTGATTTTCTCGTTTCAATGAATGGAAATATAGGTATTTTATCCATGTATTTGAGGTAGGGACAAATTCCTGAATGTTAGTAACTTCGTTGAAAGGTTGAAAGTATCACTATATTCCAAACTCAGAAGACAAACTCTACACGAATAGTAGCAGACGCACCGTGAAGGAAGAAATGTTAGATAATGGGAATTCATAGGTATTTATGAGTCTTGTTCTTTCTTTAGGGACAAAACAATAACAAGTAGGGATATTCAAGACATGGAGCATAGTAGGGTACCTCAATTTCTTTTGTATTCAATATATATTTGAATTGACAATATAACAAGTATTTGTGCTATGGTTGTTGTCCAAATGGGTCTGTCGAATGTATTGAATCTTTGATAAGACATTAGGAAGGTAATTTTATGCCGTTCAAATAAGAAGTCATTACTTTTTGAATTCTTTGCTCATTATTGAAACACATATATCATCAATATGTTTCTTTTCAATTAGTGTATGTATTGTTACCTATTACTACATGTTGAACACCAATTCCATAACATTGAACTCCAATTTTGAAACTTCTCGATTTTCTCATTCGCTTTATCTCAGAAACTATGCATTGAAGACGGAGACTCAATGAAACTTCTAATTATTGGGAAATCCAATTTTGTGATTCTCTAACTCTTCTCTTTATGCCACGGTTTCCAAAAAAATCATGATTCACTTGATAAAATGTCCTTCAAACGCTCCCCTACACCCTTTCATTTTCTACAGGGCATATGTTGTTCATGTCACTTGCCTTCTACTATAGGAACATTCGGACTACACGGTTTTTTTCCCTCTATTCGACCTCTTTTGGCGTTTGGCGGTTTTACTATGTTGAGTTCATTATATACCAATGAACCCCTAATAGTTAATAATGAAAGTAATTCACGTCATGATTCCTTTTTGAGATGCTCTGAATTCGATCTGGAGATTTTATGCCAAAAAACCTCATATTTGCAACAAATGTGCTTGCAGCGACGCTAAGGCAAGTACTGAGAGAACCAATATATGTAGAGAATGATCAATACCATGGAATCGATCATTCTCGCTTTGCCATCCTGATGTCTTCTGTACCTTGATATCATAACTATTGTTTCATGTTTCAATCAGAAGAGTCAATAACACTGCAGTTAATTCGTATTGAGGTGACTCAATACATCATGTGATATTCAGTTGACTGTGGTCATCAGAACGACAAAGAAATTATTTGATACTCACAAGAATCCAGCCAATGCCATGCCTCCGAATCCTATTGCGATGGTGAGGCAAATAGTCGTCCCTACAGGTGTCATCAAAAATGCGGCCAACAGCATGAATATCGTTTGGAAAACGAAAGCGCCGCAGTTAAGAAACTTTCTGACTTCAGTGGTAGTCATGATCTTCCTTCTCCTCAGGAAGTCTGCGAGTTGACCCGCTAATTGGACTGTTATGGAGCATGCCAGATATGGTAATGAAGAAACGAAACCCACGGAGTTCATATCGAAGTGTAAAACATCTGAAATCAGCCATATTTTATATTATTCACAAAAAGTAAGTACGGTCAATGCCTGGATAAAATGATTTCAATCCAAAAGTGATATGAAATCATGTCTGAATATATCATTTTGGAATGTCATATTTATTATTAAAGCTTATTGGTTAGATGAACGATTCATTCGAGCTGCCAGGATTACAAAACACACATCACACATTTCTGAAAAAAAAAAAAAATCCTCAGCCAAGCCGGATTCGAACCGAAACCACCTTGGCATCGATAAACTGCTCTACAGCAAATTTGAGAGCCTCGAACTCCTCGTATATCATGCCCTATTTGATGATTCCACAATGTATACCAGAACTGAAGAACCTGCTTTCGTGTGGAGTTCACAGAAAGGGTCGTGCAACCTGGCCTGGCTGACAAATTGCTATTTCTCATCTGACACGTAGATATTATCTGACTACTGTGATAGATGCACTATTCAGATGTGAGATGAGATGTTCAATTATAATAATCATTAGATGAATGATTCAGTTTCTTACAGAAGAAAAATATATTCTCATACCATAGATTGATACTGTGAGTGTCACTTTATGCATAAGGTGGAGGGCACTTAACTGACCGCTGTTCTCAAATTCCTAATATCCACATCATAAAATACCTATAAGTACACTCTCAGTTGACTCTATTCAGGGTCCTGCATCTCACTTCCCGTCTTCTATAGCTCACTCATAAGTTGAGTCAGGTTTTCGATATGTCAGAGACTTCAACTGTTTTATAGGGCGTATACCAAGAAAATGTTTTCAATAATACAGGGTGTCCCAGACAATTGTGGCGTCATAATGATATATTCCTTTAAAAAGTATTGCTATATATATTATTTTTCTGCACATTTGAGTGCTTTCTGTAGTTCCCTGAATGCTCTCGGAAATCAATTGGAATAGGTTCACTGATATTCATTCGACGGATGTCGTGACAAGTAATACCAAATAGTTAGATATTGGTGGATATGTAGTTACGCTATGAATTTGATTGCGAATTATCCAACGAACCATTCGTTCGTTTGTAGGAAACAACTCTGTCAAATTCCAACCGATTCCCGAAATCAAGCCATAAGAGAAAAACCGTAAAATCAATATTGTTTTTTTGAATTGACTCGGCCGTTAGGTTCTTGATGGAAATCCATGGCAAATGTGAAAACTCCACAAACGCAAAATTTCCACAAAATTCCTGAACACACAACAAGTTTCGCTAACAGAGTAGTTTCGCCAGGTGTTATACTGGTACAATGAACTTAACCATTCTTGGCTTGCTCAACTTTTATATATCCAACTTTCCCAACTTGAAGGATTAGTTACCTGTGGAAAGGTTCGATAAACCTTAATTTTCGGAAATTAGTCAAAATAGCAAATACATATTATTACCTACTGAGATAACAAATTCGACAGTGGTGAACTATTTAGTTCTGAGTGATCGTTAAGTGAAATGTCAAAATTTTTGAGTATGTTGATTCTTTATGATTCGAAATTATCTACGTGTAGATTTTTGAATTATAATCGGAACTATGATTTTTTATATGGTTGGCGTATGTTGGGTATGTTTCATCATTCAAAAAATCCACCTTCTTCTCATGAATGCGCTGATCGAACGTATTACCTGTCTGACCGATATATACCTCAGGACAAGATCCACACCCTAATAACACATTTATGTCCCATGGATATCCTTAGGACGTCCTGTCGGGACATTCAGGACGTCCATAGGACGTTCGTATTTGGTACCTTGGACGTCCATTGGACGTCTGTGGGACGCACAAATGTCCCACTTGAGGACCACTCAGGGACGTCCTTGAGGGACGTCCCTGGGACAACTATCGAGGACAACCTTTCAGCAATGCTGAGGGATATCAATTGGATGTCCATAGGATGTCCCAGGGACGTACGAATTATTCTTGAATTTGAATTTTTCTGGGTTCCTCTAGTACCAGATCTTGCATAACTGATGAGGAAATCCAGTTAAGTTGATGGTCCGTTGAAGGTCCCCAAAAAGTTTCCCAAGGATGTCCAATGGACTCACGTGAAGGACATTGACGAGGAGTACTTATAGCCTACGAGCAATCATTCGTCGGCGAGGTGTAGGTTAACGTCCTCGCAGGGACAGCAAATTGAAAGTACCGACTGGGACGTCCATAGGACGTTATTTCTAGGACATTGGGAGAGTACAGTTTATGTACCAATTGGGACATCCGAAGGATGTCCCTAAGGGACATTTCGATTGTTATACGATACTGGAAATATTAAGGGCGTCTGTGCAGAGTTATTTGAAGGAATGTACTATCAGGGACATTTCATGGTTGCCTAGAAGGCGCATTATATAAGATATGAAGTCAAACCAGAATATGTACTACTCGGGACATCCGATGGATGTCCCTAAAGGAACGTTTAAAATCATATCCCATCAGGGACATACCAAGGACGTCCTAGCATGGACATTTTACAATATGTACCACGTGGGACGTCTAGGGGATGCTATTTCTAGGACATTTGAAATGATGTACCAGCTGGGACACTCCGTGGACGTCCATACTCGGACATTGCATGCGATGTACGGGATGGGACGTCCCAAGGACACTTATTTTTGGTCCGGGACATTCGGACTTGAATTGTACCAAATTGGGACGTCCCTAGGACGTTGTGTGCTATTAGGGCAGTTGAGTTTGTATACCCTTGATTTCTCGAATTTAAAAGTTTTGTCTTTCTTATTTCTGATAAACCTTCCCAACGTGTTATTTGTTCTGAATGTATGCTTCTTGCAAGTCCTGTTTATGTAGAAATGAAGCTGATTTTTCAGTTGATGATCCGAAATAGGTTGAAGTTCTATAAATTTGATAGTTATTCTTGATGGTAGGATGAAATCCTCGAATAGCTTTATAATGGCGTTTTTTAGGAAGAATATTTTCTATCAAATTGACGTTGTATCCGTTGTATCCAACTGTCATTTGAGATAACGCAAACATGCTTGAGTACACTTTCTTTTTTCAATAGTACACAAACGTGATTCCAATTTCCTATGTGATATCAATCAGTTTTTTTTCACCTAATGATAGACAATTTTGTATGGATCATATTTTGGGAATTTTCAACATTATCCGTTTACGATATCGTTGAAATAAACAATAATCTGTTGTTTCAGTCTTTCATTTTTTTAACGTTTCAAACAGGTTATTTCTGGCAATAATTTCATCGTATATTGTGGAGATGTCGTTTCATTGAAATAGTGTGACGCGTTATTGCTTCAAAATATGAATGCTCTGCTTCAACTTTTGATGGTGGTTGTAGATCAACGAAATGCAATGAATTCTTTGAAAATGAAATGTCAGAATAACGTGTTATTTCTCGTATTCTTCAACTAAATTTCAAAGTTGAAGATTTCAACTAGTACCGTTATTGAAACGATTTCAATCGTTTCCCAACTTTTTATGAACAAGTATGTGTTCACTAAAGGCAGGACCAATATTGAAGTCTTTCAGCGCATTTTGAAATAGATAGGTTTGCTGAATTTTTCATTGAAGAAACTATATGTGAGTATCAACGATATATACTCCTGTTTTCATCAATACGATACAAACGCAGATATGAATTCCCAAAAAATCTAGCGAGAGAAAGAATTATGTATATTAATGTGAAACTACTTACATTTCATGAAAGTTGGTACTTGGGTGAGGGTCGTGTAGAAACCCCAGTTTTCTACGAAATTCGCCACTATGATAGCCCATACTGGCATTGAGGTGAAGAAAGAGCGCCAAGGAATATGTTCGAGTGGTGTGGTTTTATGCTCGTTGATAGCTTGTGTGATGTATTTTAGTTCGTATTGAGAAATACTAGAATCGTTTTCCGGAGTTTCTGCGATCAGCGTCATCCATAGTACGCTCCATAATACGCCAAATGCTCCTGAAATATCATTACAAATCAGATTGCATGGCTTCATTAGCTATAATCCTTTCTTGATTCAAGAAAAATTTCACGATTAATTTGTGTCAATAACGTTCTCTAACAAACGACTGATGAGACAGCTGAGATATCAAGCTTTTTGAAATAATAAAATGCGTAGATATAGAGATAATTATTTCACAAGATTGACATAATATTATAGAATTGTCGATGACGCTTGGCCTCGCGCATGACGAAGTTGCAGATGTTTCCGTCTGCATAGATTAATTCATCTATGCCGCTGGAAAATCGAAAAACTGTTTGGATTGAACGAAACCAAAACGGTTCATCTAGAAATTGTCATATGTCCTATATCACAATTTCTAGTACTATCATTCCCAAAAAGTCAAAGTCTCTTCATCGGTAATATTGTTTAATGATGAGAAAATCATATCAGATCTATCGCGAGAATAGTTCGTCGGGCTTCTGAATCCGTGCAAAGGTCTACTTCTCAGTATACTGTCTCCACATACGCTGATCGACATCAACAGACGACTGCACGAAAATCTAGTTCATTATAGATTCATCCACAAAAAAAACTTCAACTATCATTCCAGCACTAGCACTAGCAGTCTGACAAATCTTGACAAGTGCAGAAAGCATATCTCTATCTCGTCAACAATATAATATATCGGGAAATATTATATCGAAGTTCATTCTGGAAACCACCACTTCTGAAGGTTAAACTTTGAAAAATACCATTATTAGTATTCTAGAGGTAACCATTCAGAAAAAAATATTGCGGGAAATAAATTAGGTGCCTATTTATGAAATGAATTATCGTATTGACTCCATATCAGGGGATATTATTGCAACACGATGGATTATTTGCAAAAAAAATTCGAGAACATATTGCTCACTCCAGATATATTTGGTTTAATAAATCAAGTGTCGCCCAATCAGTGACCCTAACACTGCAAGCTTAATTATAAATCTCCGAACATATTATGGACAATAGCTAAAGGATTGAACAGTTTGGAAATCAATTTCATGTATGTTAACCTTGATTCAGGACTCAACAGAAATCGTGGAATAATTAGTTATCAATGGGATATTGCCAATTTGTACCATCATTTCTACTGGTTATTTTTAGAGAATATCTTGCATGATACACTAGTCAGCTTCTCACCATTCGTTCCCTAGTTCTGGGAAAATACTTCAGTATTATAGAGCAAAATGTATACATCACTGTTATGTGATCAGAATGGGTATTCCGACAAACTAAAGAAGATATAATTTCTGAAGAAAAGGTCGTTGTCAAGGTAATATTTAGTGAACCAACCGTATTTAGTGCACCAACCTCCTCTCCCTATCCTTCCTATATGTTGTCCTCCAAACATTATAACGATTCCCTTTCATGCGCTATGTAAGGTTAGAAAAATAATAATGAGTTGACTATACATTATTCTTTGAATTGCTCTTATACATAATAATTCTGAAGAATACGTGGGTTCAAATATGGAACACGTTCAAAGCTATACAGAGATAAAAAGTATTCTTTCTATCGAACAAATCTATTTTCCTGAAAATGAATTGCTTCGTACAAGGATTTTTCTCTTGAATGAAGCATGTCCTGGAATTTCTTCATATGAACTTGCTCATCATGTATAGCATATCTTTTCATTCAAGAAAACCATGACTACAAAGTGATATAAATTCCAATATATATCGATTCAAGAAGATCTCTGCTCGTCTAAAAGGTTTGCAGTGACGTATATACAGAAGTGAATTGCTGCGCCCATTCGACTTGCCAGTCGTTAGCACAGGTCATTAGCCACCATTTGCCATTGCCGCTGTCGTTCCTTCTGAAGACGATTCAAAACATCATTGTTTTCCAATGAAGAAGTGATGTTGTATTATCTTCACAGCAATTCGGCATTCCAGCTTCGAGGACCATCTACGAGGGTGTGTAAGATAATTACGTGCAGGAATAAGTATTCTTTTCGATCAGGAACGAACTCAGATCTTTGTATTTATGGTTGAAGTGAGGTGTGTTTCCTTCTCATTTCGGAAACTTGCTCAGAACCTTGATGTCATTCATAATTCATACCTCAAACCATAACTGCATATCACTTTCGACGTAAATGGCTATGTTAGTATAACCTGCACAACACATTCGTCCAGCAGTGACGGTTTGAATAGTCGCATTTCATTCGATGAACGCGCTGATGATGGATGATGGTTGAAGCAATAACGATATGGCTACTTCCCTCGTGTTTTCACATAGATAACATTTTTTAAACTTGCTCTATTGTCAAACGCAAAATTTCTTGAAACTAAAAAATATTTGATTGTCTCAGAATTTGGTTTGTTCTCGACAATGCCTGGCTGATTTGTTGAATGAAAATCTTGTTCCTCCTGAAGCCACAATGGGTATACGGTTAATGATTCACATTTAAGTAGCCAATTTGCGGAACACGCGGAACAATTTTCAAATAATGATTCAACTCTTTCAGCATATAGATTTTTTTATTTTAAAATCCGAGCACAGTGGAAAAGGACGGTAATTACAAAAATTTCGAAGAATATCTCACCTCCTAGATTGAAATATACAGACAATATTTGATGATTTTATTGTTCTATGTATATATTCCTTTTAATATATACATGTTCTCATTTTCGTAATGTTAAGATGAAATAACTCAATTTTGATAATGAAGCCTTCTGTTTACCAACTGTTAGAGTTCATTCAATTACTTTTATGAGGAGACCATCAATACTTTAATTGATGATATTCTCACGGCACAAAAAAATTAAAATCTTCTGAAATATATTCACTTTTTATAATGAGGCAAGAATTCCTTGTTGAAATTCACTCGTCTGCGTTAATTATCATAGGTTTAGACATCAATTGTCATTACAAGAAGTCCAATGAAGTTAATTGAAGTACTACCAATCTATAGTTTTGGTAATTAGTCCTTGGTGCTATTTTTATACGTAACATGAGTGAATATGATTAGAAATTGAATCACAGTCATTAACTCAGACATAACAAGAAAATTAAATGAGTGCTTTTTCCTCAGTGCATATAGATTTTTTTATTTCAAAATCCGAGCACAGTGGAAGAGGATGGTAATTACAAAAATTTCAAAGAATATCTCACCTCCTAGATTGAGTTATACAGACAATATTTGATGATTTTATTGTTTAATGTATATATTCCTTTTATTATTATACATGTTCTCATTTTCGTCATGTTATGATAAAATAATACAATTTTGATAATGAAGCCTTCTGTTTACCAACTGTTAGAGTTTATTCAATTACTATTATGAGGAGACCATCAATACTTCAATAGTGAGCTGTATATTTATTTCTTTCAAGATGATATTCTCACGGCACAAAAAAATTCAAATCTTCTGAAATATATTCACTTTTTATAATGAGGCAAGATTTCCTTGTTGAAACCTCGAAATTTATTAATCCAATAACAAAATTGTTCTACTATGATAGGGAATCAACTTGACAATAAAATTTTTTTTGTCTCAAACTAATCAACTCATTCTGCGACTAATACGTACTGTGATAATGAAGAAATATTCATTCTAATCAAGATTTTCTTCTCATGAATATGTCAAGGAAGTTATGTAAAAAAATTTGATATAAATTTGATTGGACCTATTCGAGAGCCTCATAAATGGTTGAATCAATGATGTTTCGCACCGAATCCCGAAAGCCTTTCAATCTGTGTGAGGACAATCATTATTGGCACTGTGATGGAATTGTGGAAAACTGAGCAAGTTTATATGATTCCTTGAAAAGTACCAACAATGACAATGATATAACTTCAAAATAATAATTATTGTAAATCCATAAATAAGGAAAATGTAATCTGATTAGGAACATTATTGAATATTTCGTGCACTCAATTTTCAGCGGTCTTATATTATAACTAGGCCTAGAAAGTGATTCATGCTAGTATACATACCAAATACATAAAAGATACTTTCCCATCCAAGAGTTGTTGCTAATAGAGAACATACTGGCATTGCAACTACTGTTCCTACGTAACTTCCTGATACTGCTATCATTGCCAACTTACTCCTTTCTAAAGGAGGTGCCCATTTGGACCAAACAGCATGCATGCTAGGATACGTCACTCCCTTAAAAAAATGTGAACAATGAAATCAGTCATTGAGGAACGTTCCATTCTGATCTATACAAAAAAATGATATTATTTGATGTGACATTATTACAATGAATGCGAATATATTGTCGAAAACATCTTTGGAACTCCAAGGTTGTTCGAATTCCTGATTCACTTTGTCCAATGCTATGTGTATTTTTTTCCATTGAAAAGAATAATATATTTTCCATTGACGAAATATGTGATTTCATGATGAAATTTCTAGTACATGCAACAAGTGATGTTAAATTAACTTCCTGAATGAATATATCGTCAGGCATTTTTTGATCAGATGAATCAAGCAAATCTCACATGAATACAGTATGATGCTTCTGAGAAGTGTTAACCAATTTTTCATTCAATTTTTTATAATAAAAAAATCACGCACATGTCGTGATGTTCAATCATTTTCAATCAATTGATTTTTTATTGTCAAGAGAGATTTTATGGGTTCTAGTATAACTTGAAAATCTTGAACTATTGCATCAAGAATTGGCAACGACTAGAAGGTTTGTTATCTCTTTCCCAGATCAGTTATTTGTATGCCTTATAGAGTTCCAAAAGAAAAGTTATCGCTGAAGCCGTTGCGACCAAGCCAAGATACTTCAGAGGCCGCTGTAAAGTTTCACGGCCACGGTATACACATCCTTTTTTTTCGTGCAATATAAAACATTTATCCATTGCCACAGGGAATTGAGAATTCAAGGATGACATTGATGATGGAAAAAATACATTCATACAAATACTCGAAGGACACATTGAAAGATGCACAGGAGGAATCATGGATGACGACGGCAGTAGTCACTTCAATGAACAGAAAAACGAGACATTCTAGGAAATATAAATGCACCCCACTAAAGAGAATAAACAGAACTACAGAATATATGGAAATAAACTGAATGATATAAGCAAAGAAGCAAAAAAATATTATTACCAGCAAAAAACAATAAAGAACCTACACATGACATCGCAACTGTGAAGATGTGGTAAACAGATGGATAATGACGAGAAAATACAAGGAAAAATAACAAGTATCAAGAATACCACAGTTGATCAGTTCAACAATAATACAGACATTGTGCATGTATTGAATGACATTTTTTTAAAGGTTGGCATGAAATTTGCAGACAAAATCACGCAGAACAACACAATTATTCCTGTGTCTGTGACTTCGAGAAATCATTTATTTCTAGAGGATATGAGGCTGACGGGATAATTTGTTCCTTGAGAAATCAGAAAGCTTCATGTTCTTAGGTAGCCATTTCTGGTCCGATCTCTCTATAAATTTTTTTTCACCATTATGGTTCCTTGAACTTATGATTGGAATATTTCTATGTGATTTCGGTCACCCTGTTTCGTGTTTTCGAAACATTTGGTTTGTGTTGAGTTCAATTGATTTTTTTGTAATTTTTCTTTCATTCCATCATTAGAATTATTTGATTAGAATTCAATAGATTGAAAAGAGACAGATCAGGACGACAATAGGATATACCTCATTCATCCAATAGGTGTTCCTGGGACGTCCTCAGTACCTACGTATCACCTGTCGACAACGACTGTACCAGGGACGTCCCAAAACTATATGAGGGATGACACGTTGACATCTAGGAAATTTACTTTCGTCGTTTGGGTGTTTTTTTTTTAGAAAAAAATATGTACCATGCGAATTGAGGATTATACTTGACGAATCATAATATTATTGATAGTGTTTTTAACTCGTTGCATAATGATTTGCAAGTTTTTCGAACTGGGGGCGATCTGCGTCGTCAATCGTAAGTTTCAAGAGCGATCATCGAAATATTTCGAACAATGCTCTAACGAAACTCTTTCGTCTATTGAACAACTAAACTCTGGAATTCCTTTCCAACACCTACCTCTCACCTAATCTACGTGTAACAGCATTCATTTTTGAAGCCCTTACTTTATTAGCGCTTGCTCGGAGAGATACTACTCTGGTACTTGTCGGAGGGAGCTTTGGCGTCAGATTGTTTATGTGGTGGTTTTTTCCACCTGCTCTGCACAAAACAATTTTTGTACAGAGGCCCAAAGTAGCAACAGTCGAGACAGGTACAGGAGGTATACCTACCTCGGTAAAACCAGGGGTCAATGTTATTGAATCAACCTGGAATCAAGAAGCCACGGAATGTAAGCTTTGATTACAAACCCTGTATCCAGCCTGGGATTCTGATTGCTATTTTTATTCTGGATAATTACATTAATTAACGCAAATATCTGTGTCGGCAACGGGTCTCTGGTATTATAAGGTGAGGTCTGGAAAATTATTCTTTCAAACTATTTCATCAAGACTTCCTGGAGAATGGGAAACATAGTTTCAAACAAATCGAACAGATTCGATTCCAATTCATTTTCCATTTTCCTTCGATTTCCCCATTTTCGCAATATCGAAATTTCAATGAGGTTAATTACCTTTATCCATTCATGTCGAAATTTCAAGAGCTACAGACCACCGCCTGACGAAACACACAGCACAGGGACAGCGGTGCACAGGACTGAGATGCTCAGGAAAAAGAAAAGAAGAAGAATTGACAATTGGCTATGTCAGTGACAGCCGTAAGTCAAAAATAATGTTGAGCAATTTGACAATAAAACAAGAAAAAGAAATATAAAATATGATGACTCAACAGTCGGAAGCGCTCTGCTACAAATATTGAATAAATTATTTTGCTTGAAATACAAATCTTCCATTCTTTGGTATATAACAACAGGAATGGAATAAATCTTCAAACACGATGAATACTAATGGAGAAAAATATTATACAAACTTACATGTGCAAAACGAAATCACCATACAATAATACTAAACAATGTCTTTGAATGAAATATGGGAGCTCTGAGAGATCAGCAAGAGAACCAGGAGAGACACAGGTGAAGAGTAGAGTGTCTAGAGCAGAGTATCGGGCCTAGAGAATAGCAATTAGAGAGTAGAGATAGATCCCTAAGCTGTCTTTTGTATTCATACTTTCCATCAACCTTGGTACAAGGACAACTCAATCCTAGATTCTTATTGGCCGGAATCCTCAACTATACCTGCAGGATCTAGCATCCAAAAGCATATGTTCTCAAACTCACAAAAATGCAGAAAAATTTTCATTCAACCCTAAATGGGCAGAGGAACAGGATCTACTAACCTGTCATGTCTTCGAATGAATTTGGCTCCAAAATATACAATAAGAATAAAAGGTATGACCAGGTAAACATCCATCATTCTCACAGATGAATAATTCATTCAAATCCCATATCATGAGCAAAGGGTTGGAAAATATTGTATTCAGGGTTGTTATTATGTTTCTCGGAGTGAACTATCAGAAAAAAGCTTTGGTAAGTCAGGAATCAATTGAGTACTCAGTTCTGTCAGGTTTTCAGGTTTCGAGCTTTCGAACAAGTGAAATTCAACTAGAATCATTTTCAGGTACTTAGTTAATATTCAAAACCAGTTAAGCTGGTTCAAAAACACCTCATTACATAGGTTCGCAAGATGTTACACGAACATTATAGGAATTTCCTTCCATGTGCTACATGAGATGAAAAAAAATGAAGGGTTCTCAATCCCTCACAAACTTGATCGATGTTCGTCAAGAGTTCGAATTCTCAGAACTATGCTGAACGACGAAGTACTCTTACTTACCTCCAATCATCGGGTAAATTATGGAAATATGTTATCCCATTGAGATTGAGTCTTCAATGCATCGATTAAGATTATTCGGATACAAGTGATGATGAAAACTCAGGTATGGTTTCTCAGTGAAGTATCAGTATTCACCATCCATTCAAACCTCTCTGGGAATATCTTGCACGATATAAAAGTCGCATTGGAGATATTCCGGATAGTTTTGGTATGGAACGAAACAGATTCTGCAGAGACAGTGTCTCGAACAAGTTGGCTTCTCAGTCTCCTGAAGTAATCGATTTCGATTCCAGTTTCTCTGTGCTAAAACCGCATTTTACAAAAAAGAATTGAGCAAGTGACACTTATATTTGCTCAGATTTAAAGCGCTCCATAAAACGACAAGAAGAAAACATTCCAGGAATGCTGTGAGGAAACTGTATAATCATAAATATTAACGCAAATTATATCCTAATACGTATTAATTTTTTCAGGTGGAGGCCATTCACCAGAATTGTCAGGTATGTTATCATTACTATCAATCATTACTATAAACTCATTCGTTCCTGATGAACTAGAGTTTTTTTGAGGAAGTGTCTGGTCCAACATTTTCATAACAGATATTCATATGATGGAAGATGCTGGATACAATAATATTCGTTCGGTTGAAGTGATATATTTTTTTTTTCATTTGATGCATTCCAACTGATTCACAATGTTTTATCGATAAGAAATGACCAAATATGCTACTATCGGTATGATGAATATTTCCTGTCGATTATATTGGTTTATTGTGAGTCATCGAAATTTTCAAATGATTATGGTTTCAATAGAATGATGCATGACCAAGATCAATGAAAGTGTTGACTGTGATAACTATGTACTCAATATCTCTCTGGAATCTTCAAATTCAACAACACACGTATAATATACTCACTTCGAATAGGCCTTCCAATATTCTGACAACTATAAATAAATAAACGCTGGATTTCACAGCGAAGGGTGTTATTATGGTCAGAAAGGCTGTAACTCCTATCCCAATACCGAATACCGTTCTTCCCCCAAATTTGGTTGCTGCAAACCCTCCAACTAGTGGCGTGACTACATATCCATAGAAGAATGAGCTCAGGACATAACCTTGGATTTTCGAGTCCCAATCAAACTCCTTCACCTGTGAAAAATAATTTGGACATTTTACTACCCTTGGTATGATTATCATGTACCATAATGAGATCTTTGAAAACAATAATGGATAATGAAGACGACTTTATGGGCTCCAGAACAGAATGCCAATAAATGAATCCAACTGGTATTGAAACAGTTGGGTCATGTATCCATACGATACATTCATTTTTCAAAATGTTGATTTTATAGACCATAAATTTCCAGGAACAGCATTCATATTACGAATTATTTTTGCAAATCAAATTACCTTCTATACGCAATACTGGTTTCACTGAATATGATCTTTGATGCCGATAGGGTGTATTATATATTTTCAGATATGAATACTAGCATAGGAATGTGTTTTGTCGGAAGAAGTCACTCAATCTATTATTTGAAATAGTGTTAGGACCGAGGTTAGGACCAATATTCGTAGTCGTTCGACTCAACCTCATTTAAAAATATACAAGAGATTCCATATGAATTACATGAAATGATAAGGTGAGTTTGATGTCCTGGTGGTAAATGAAAAATTGTATTTCGATGAATTTTCAGATTATCCCTGAAATGCTGATTTCATCGATGAGGCAGTTGATAATAATCCCGAAATGACCAAAGAAGTGGCAATATTGACGATTACCTTGTCAAATCCGCCTCACTGTTATTTTTGTTAAATCAGAATTTTCAAACTGAAAACTTTGCCCTTCTGCAAAGTACAGGGTGATTCGCCATAAATGTCCCCCCCTCTAGCTCACTTATTTCTGAACCGTTATAAAAATTTGAAAGATAATCTAAAATGATTTTTCTGAAATTTTTTTCCAGCTGCATCAGAAAATACAGGGTGCTCGGAACAAACGATCTACAGAGTACTAATTGATTTTTTTAAATGGAACACCCTGTATTTCATTGTATTTTCAGATTCTTCCTCAAGAGCTGATTTCATCAATGTATCACACTTGTAGTTTAGCGGGAATGATTACAGAGATATAGGGTGTTCAAAATCGAGATTTTTCAACTTTAGGATTTTTTTGTGCCGAAACTATTTATTATTGGTCAAAACGGCTCCAATGTTCCCATCCCAACTTTCGATTTACTATCTAATGAAATTTAATTGGAACATTTACAGGGTGGTTCAAGATTCAGAATTCTGGTCACCCTGTATCTGTTCCAATTATTAAATGTCAGTAGATAGTAAATAAAAAGTTAAGATACGGACATGAAAACAGCGTGACCGATAATGAATAGTTTCGTCATAAAAAAAATCCTAAAGTAAAAAATCTCGATTTTGAACACCCTATATCTCTGTAATCAGTCCCGCTAGACCCCAAGTGTGATGCATTGATCAAATCAGCTCTTCAGGGAGAATCTAAAAATACAATGAAAAATAGGGTGTTCCATTTAAAAAAATCAAATAGTACCCTGTAGATCGTTTGTTCCGAGCACCCTGTATTTTCTGATCTAGCGGAAAAAAACTTTATCGAAAATCATTCAAGATGATATTTCAAATTTTGAAATCGGTTCAAAAATAACTGAGCTAGAGGGGGGGACATTTATGGTGAATCACCCTGTACTCGTATCTTCACTCCTTTTCTAGGGCTTGGAATCATTTTGACAAAATTCATTTCTCAAGTTTCGTTCTCCGCGACATCCATGAGTTATTCATACATACATGTTTTCAAAATAGATATCCGTTATGGAAAATTATATAAGGATAGCCATGAAATATTTTAAGCGAATATAAATTGACACATGACATCCATAAAAGTAATTTCTTGAAACTGAAAGGCACAGAGTATAATTTTTCTCTATGAACGTGTTCCCTAAGATTGTCATTTTGTGAGAATTGATAGGTATTTGCATGTTATGATTTGTTTCAATTCATCCTCAATTTCAGTTGGATATTCCATTATCTCATATACTCCAGATGTGAGTTTTCTAGTTTGAGTTATACAATTATAAATTAGCTTTGAAGTCTGAATAAATATATTTATTTTTTGCCTCTATATTTCATTCTTCTGATATGATGAAACTCCAGCTGATTTTCCTCAATGATACCAGATCATATCTTGTGTAGGTATATCACTGTCAACAATATATAGATATTTCCTGAACCTACCTGATACACAATACACATCCTCAAGCCGGTGGCAAAGTGGTGGAAAATCATTACATCAGAAGTGTGGTGGAGTATATGACACATATCCGATATTCTTTATATTTTACATTTTGAAAATTATGACATACCGTGATTATCATAATCTTCACTCATTTCGATATCACCTTTGAAATCCAATAAATCACAGTTTCATTAGGTTTGTGAGAAAAGTAATTGAATGTATTGGCAAATCATACATTTTTTTTTTATTTTTTTTTATCGCTTGGAGCGCACGAAAGGGAATCCCTATAATGTTCAAAGAACATCGTGCGTTCCTAGGGAGGATAGGGACAGGAGGTAGGTATTGGAATTTTTTTTGAACTTTTGGAGATTATTATGTTGTTGGGAATACTTCCACAGGCAATGAATTCCAGAGCCTAGCCGTTCTATGGATGAAGGAGTCTTGATAAAGTGCTGTTCGATATCTTTCGAGGTTGACAACGAAAGGATGTGCTGACTGGGCTTGTCTAGTCCGTCGGATTGGTATTGCTAGTGAAGGGATGATACGAGGGATGATAGCAGAGATTTCCGAGGAACATTTCCCGTGGAAGTATCGATAGAAAAGTGAAAGGTCGCCGACCTTTCTACGGTGTTCCAATGATGTCAAAGAGTGAGTGAGTGTGGCGTCACCCACCAGGCGGATGGCTCTTCTCTGGATGGAATCTACGAGCATCAGCGTATGTTTTGGTGCTGAACCCCATATGTGGGAACAGTACTCTAGAACAGGCCGTATCTGCGCTTTGTAGATCATGTGAAGCTGTTGAGGTGTAAAGTAGCTTTTCGCATGAAACAAGAAGCCGAGTTTCTGTGAAGCAGCTTTTGCGATGGATCTGACATGATTACCCCATGAAAGAGTGTTGCTAATGGAAACACCGAGCATAGATATGGTGGGCTTGGTGGGGATGGTGGAGCCAGACATTACAATATTGGGAATACTGAGTTCCGCCTTTCTAGATAAAATGCAGGCTTGAGTTTTGGTGGCGTTGAATTCAACTAGGTTGTTTGTTCCCCAGGCTGTGATTTCAGCAAGATCTTCATTGACAGCATTGACCTGCCTGCGCCGTGAGTTCTTAGTTTCCTGGGAAGAAATGGGAATTCTGGAAGAGAATGCAGTATGGATGGTACTATCATCTGCAAAGCTGTGGATGCGGCAAGTTGTTACTCCCAACAGATCATTGATATGAAGCAGGAATAATGTTGGTGCCAAAATTGATCCTTGTGGAACGCCGGAATTGATGCCAATGGTATCAGACGATACACCGTCCACCACCACATGAAGCGATCTGCCTGAAAGAAAACTCGATAAGAGATGGCATAGCTGAGGTGGTAAGCCGTATGATGGTAGTTTGTCGAGGAATCCTTCGTGCCAAACACGGTCGAGTGCTTTCGATATGTCCAACGCGACAGCTAGAGATTCCCCGTGTTTTTCTATTGAAGATTGCCATAAATGGGTGACGTAGGCAAGTAGGTCTCCAGTAGATATTCGGTGGCGAAAGCCGTATTGTCTATCATTGATGATTCCTGAGCTCTCCAGATATTTGATGAGCTCAATATTGATGGCTTTCTCCATCACTTTGGAGATTACTGATAACAGGGCAATGGGCCTGTAGTTGTTGGGCAGGTTCTTGTTCCCTCTTTTTGGGATTGGTTGGACTCTAGCTGTCTTCCAGCATGATGGAAAAATACCCGACCTGTACGAGATGGTAAACAACTTGCAGAGAATCGGTGTTAATTCTGGTGCACATTTTTTGAGGATAATGGGTGGAATTCCATCAGGACCGTTAGCCTTATTCGTTTTGAGACCAAGCAAAATTCGTCTGATAGTGCGTTGATGGAAGACGATTTCGGGCATTCGACTCTCAACGGGTGGAATGTCTGTCAGCAGTTTTCCTTGGGAATCTAAAGTAGAGTTTGCTGCGAACATTTCTGCAAAAATATTTGCTTTCTCCTGCGATGTTGTTGCTGATGTGCCGTCGGACTTGGACAGTGGTGGAAATGAACTATTAGTGAATTTTCTTTCGATCGCTTTAGCAAGGGACCAAAACGAACGGGAGTCATTGGGGCAATCTATGAGTTTCGATCTTATCTTGGCATTGTATGTGCTTACATGGTAATTTTGATCTAAATCCAAAGTATGGAAAATTTAAAAAGATGTTTCAGAGTTCATCATGAACTGAAGTAATTTCGATAGTCAATGATATGATGAACATTGTATAAGTGAGAAATATAAAAAAAAAATCAGAACAAAAAACTACCGGGACTCTGAAATCAGAGCCAATTTCGAGAATATAAAAAAATATGATATTTTGTATAAATGATTCGTTGTCAATGATTCATCTCAGTAGGTTGATGTTGTCTATTGTTTTTAATCTTGTTGCCTAAATCATTTTTTTCAAAATGGTCCTCCACTTTAGTTTTCCATTCGCAGAGTTGATCCTTCGTCTGTATCGACATCATGGTGCATTGCCTGATATATTCGTTTGTGTTTGTCATAAATAACTAAATACTTGATTTCACTATTGACATTTATCTTGTCAGGCCACCAAACTGCAAAACCTTGAGAACCTTGAATATATAGGGAGAAATCGTATTCTTATCAGTATTAATTCTGGCGTAAAACACTTCCAGCTTTGGTGTGATTGAATATGTGATGCCCCAGGTGAATTGGATTGACGATATTTCAAAAATAACGTGGAAACCACCGTTGCCGCATCTTGTATAGAGTGCCAAATTGCTATACTGAAGCTACCTGGCGGCGATTTTACTAAATATACTGCACGCTAGCACAAACCACGGCCACCATAATACGTCATATCTCCAAACATTACCGATATACTCGAAGTCAGCACATCGCACCAAATATACTGTGCTCCAACGCAAGAATACACTTTTTATGATTTTGACACGAATTCGACTGAAGCTCTCTCTTTGTCAATATCTTGTACGCAGTAAATTCATATACCCAAATGGTCTACTGGATAGCGCTGTCGACTTTCAGTCTGAAGGTCCATGGTTCGAATCGCTGTGAACTTGAACTTTTTTTGCCACTTTTTTTTCACCAATGTTTTTTTACTTCATTCTGGTTTTCCTTTTTCATAAAATATTTGAAGTCAAATAGGTTAGTGCGTTTAGGATAAACAGTCTCATTTTATTCAATTTTGTTGAAGAACTCAACTTTTGAAATATATTATTAATCAATGTGTTTCTACACTCCATTCGGTTTTCCTTCCTCGAAAATATTGCAATCAGGGATAGGTTAGTTCGTTAAGGATAAATAGTCTCTGAGTTTTGCCTAAGTACTTCGAAGATGAGATATTACGGTGGGCGTGGTTTGTGCTAGCGTACAGTATATTTAGTAAAATCGCTACCTGGCGTGAGAGGTGTCTGACGATGTCAAAACACATTTCATTTTGAAAATTATGTCGAATTGGGTATCTCAGACCCCACCACACTTCTCGCGGGTTGAAGGGCTGCTTATGGAAGTACAGCTCCTTCTATATGGAACATCCATTGAACATTCATCGGATATCAAGTGGATGTTCTCTGGATATCTTAAATATCCATAAGTATAGATTATCCTGTATATACACCCAAATAACATCAGATTTTTTGACTGTGTACAATAGTTATTTATTATAAAAGGGGAAAAAGTAGTATGGATTTTAGCTCCAGGTTGTGTGAGCTAAAATCTTATATTTTTCCCGTGTATAATACACTATTTCTTTCTGTAACAGGAGAAAGAACGAATCGATATTGAGAAGATATTACATTATTTTGAAATCTGAAAATTATCGACGTGAAATTTGAAGTTTTTACCAGGAGGGACACTTGCGTTGTGGGCATCTTCATCATTCTTCTGAAGTAATCAAATATCTGATGTCACTTCTTCCAGTCTGATTCTGTGATTTGATTTCAAAAATTGCGAATTCAGTAGATGTTGTACTTAAATTACGTAACCGCGAAGTCGAATGGAAGATAAACGGACTTGCAGATCTCTCGGACACGGTATTATTGACTCATTTTTCGGAATAATAGCACAACAAAAGCCATCAACATGTATATACAGGGTATGTCACGACGAGCTTACACTATCTTTATATCGAGAATCAGTCAGGAGAAATACATGAAAATCTGCATTGTTTAATTTAAGAATACGCTCCCTTCATTCAAAATATTTTCGACAATGCAGTGTTGCCGCTTCTACTAGAAAGTAGTAGCAACATTGATATTTCAAATGGAACACCCTGTATTTTATCGCATTTTTAGATTCTTCCTGAAGAGCTGATTTCATCGATGTATCACACTTGGGGTCTATCAGAAAATATTACAGAGATATAGGGTGTTGAAAATCAAGATTTTTCAACTTTAGGATTTTCTGTATCGAAACTATTCATTATCGGTGAAAACGGCTCACATGTTTTAATCTCAACTCTTGATTCACTATTTACTGATATTTAATCGGAACAGATACAGGGTGGTTCAAGATTCAGAATTCTGATCACCCTATATCTGTTTCGATTGAATATAAGTAAATAGTAAATCAAAAGTTGAGATAGGGACATGTGAGCCGTTCTGGCAGATAATAAATAGTTTCGACACAAACGAATCCTAAAGTTGGAAAATCTCGATTTTCAACACCCTATATCTCTGTAATCATTTCCGATTGACCCCAAGTGTGATGTATTGATGAATTCAGCTCTTCAGGGAGAATCTGATGATGCAATAAAATATAGAGTATTCTATTTTAAATAATAACAAAGTTGTTGCTTCTTTTTGATGGAAGCGGCAGCACTGCCTTTCTGAAAAAATTTTAAATGAAAAGAACGTATTCAAAAATATAAGCATGCATATTTTCACGGATTTCTCCCGACTGATTCTCGATATAGATATAGTGTAAGCTCGTCGTGACATACCCTGTATGTGATTCATCCGGGAGAAAAGTACTCACTATTTTCCCGCGGGAAAAGAGTAATTTATGAAGAGTGACATTTTATAACTTGTCAACAGAGATGAAATGCCAAACTTTTTCCAGTCACAGAAAAAATTCTATTGTTTTGATTTGGTTGCCTATAGTGGATAATTTGATATTTTCAAGGATCTGATAAAAATTTATCTTACTTACGAGTTTTGTCGTACCGTTTTCCAATGTAATATTTTTCAATTCAGTCATGGCCACTATGGCAACGCTGAGATTGACTCGTAGAGCGTAGCAGGTGAAGAATCCAAAAAAACCGAGGAAGGCCACCACATATCTCCTTGTTTTCCATATTAGCCAAGGCGATGGAGCACTGGAAAAGTCCGACATCATAGATGAAACGTTGAACTAGAACTAAATAGAGATTACTGTGTCCTCCGTGTTGATTCTATTATTTCCTGTCGCTTTTACTTCACGCTGGCAAATCTCTGCGATTCGCAAGAATTGCGATTATAGACATCAAACAGAAAAGTAAATGCTGAAGTAATTCAAATTGGCTATTTTAATCAATCGAATGCTACGTTGATATGTTCAGAGTCATTAGGTATTCGATTGTAGGTCAATATAACTCGGTACAGTGAACATATACGAGGTAAATCAATGAAAATGTTGTTCGATTATATAATCTGTTTTTGGAGAAATTAGTATTAGTCCGAGTTTCTCCAAATTTTGTTATTCATCTTGATGTTCTTTTTATTATTTTCAAAAAACATTTATTTTCATTAGAACAAGATGGGCCGATGGAAATTTCTCATCCTAATTTGTAAGATTTCAATATCTCAAATCAAAATTCTGAAAAACCTTCAAACACATCAATTTTTGATTCGAGAAGGAACTGATTTTCAGTTTTGTTCCACCCCCGCAGCGTCAAACCTGTAGGTTGTGGGTGAACAACCCTCAGAATTTGCATGAGGAAAATAAGGAGTCATGACGTTTCTCTCTTAGAAGATCTCATCTCAAGTTTCTCATGACCCTATGACCTTGCCTTATTATTTTCATTGAAAATAAATGAAAGAGATATCCTAGGTACGTTCCATGTCTCGCGGTAAAAGGACGCGAATGAGACCCGAGGATATCCTAGGTGATGATGGATGTTTACCTATTCAATTTTAAACCTCCAAAATCGATTCCTTTGAAAAATTCGAAGTTGGTACCTACACCTTCATATACCTTCGCATCTAGTAACCGATCTTAATCGTTCTTAGATGTCTACACTGACAATTTGTTTGTTAAAATTCATCATAAATGAATTATAAAAATATTCTGAACGAAATTGCTGAGAACGGACTCTTTCACCAGCACGAAACTACGTTCCAAATATATAACGTTGTCACTAACCATACGTCTCACAGACGTGACCATTTAAATGTCCATATATATATCCAAAATGTTTATTCCATTTTTGTAAGCTATTCAAACACATTTTCTACATATTTTTCGAAGAGAAAATGATGTTCAAAATTGAAATAGAATTACAAATTTCAGTGGCGATCGAAATTCAATAGAGGAGTACCTTATGTTCAAAATTTCAACATTGATCTATAGAAATACTGAAATAAACTGAAATACTAAAATTATCGATGATATTATTGTCATTCTGAATACAGTTAGAGTCGTAATAGAATATGACACAGAACTAAGTCATATACATGCAAATTGAATAAAATGACAATGCCTGATGTATATCTAGATATAGACGTAATCATATGTATTATAGGCAAAATTGAACTTTCATTGTTACGTAATAACTAACTATACGTCTATGAGACGAGAATCTATCTTTCACTCAAGATATTTCTAAAACTGAACCATATACATAGATCAAATTTAGGGTATTGAATCAGTGCTGGTTGGACATAAATTGAAAAGTGTAAGAAAACAATGGTAAATCTGGCAACAGTGTCTGTTATTTATTGTGAAGTTGGCATCACTTTTAGTGTAGCTATGTTATTGAATAGTTGGTATTACTGTCTTTCATGAATCATGCAATCTTGGAAATGTTTTGTGTAGAAAAAATGAAGGTAGACAAAAATAAATAGTTACAAGACGTTTTCTAATTAATTGAGAGCTTGTTCTCAAAATTTGTAAAAATGTAAATGTTTTCAAATAAATTGATATGTCCGTCTATGTCCTGTGTACTCTGAAGTTCAAATAGGTTATGGGCCCAGATATTTAAAGAAGAAAATATACTGGTAAAAGCTGTGCAAGTCTTTTGGCGCTAAAACTCCTAACAGAGAAAAGTCCTACCTTGTAAGCTGCTGCTGAACAATCAGAATCAAAATGGATCAGAAAATAATCACGGGCGTGAAACTTGCTGGTGAGAACTGGGTAGTTTGGAAATTCCAAACCATAGTCATTTTAAAAGGGCAAGGTCTCTTTGAAATTGTAACCGGCGAGACTACAAAACCCACAAGCGAAGATGCTGCTATTGCTGCGTGGATCAAAAACGATTCCAAAGCTCAAGAGCTGATGGTAATGAGGATGGAAGAAGGACCATTAACCCATATACTGTCCTGTGAAACTTCCAGTGAAATGTGGTCTAAACTAAAGTCAGTATATGACAAGGAGTCAGTGGTTAGTATACATTTACTCCAACAGAAATTTTTTCTCATGGATTTTGGTAATGAGTCAGTCTCTTCCTACATTTCAAAAATTGAAGAGATCAAGAATAAATTGAAGCAGGCAGGTGAAAACTTGTCAGATAGAATGATAATTACCAAAATATTAATGTCACTTCCTGAAAAATATAAACATTTCACTTCTGCTTGGGAATCAGTACCTGAAGAAAAACAAACCCTAGAAGAATTAACTTCCAGATTATTGATTGAAGAGGAACGAGCAATGTCTCTTGAAAAGGACATTGCTCTAGCAGCCAACTCAAGTAAGGCAAGAGATACTCAGCAAAAAGGGGGTGGAAAATCTACACTGAGAACATTTTTTCACCGTCACAGCAGATTTTTCTGCTGCTACAGCCAAAAACTTTCGCTACATAGGGGACAGCCAAAGTCTTTACTACTGCAGAAGAATGCACTTTACTGGCACCGTCTTCCTGTAGCAGAAGAGCTACTTTATAAAAAAATTACCTACCGTTGGTGCGCAAAGTAACATTCCTCTAGTAGAAGAGTCACTCTACTGTTGTAGGAAAGTCACTTTACTGTTGTAGGAAAGGCACTTTACTGATGTAGGGAAGTCACTTTACTGTTGTATGGAAGTCACTCTCTGGTCATAGTGAAGTAACTTTGCTGTGGTAGGAAAGCAACTGTACTATCCCAAGAAAGAGGTTCCAATTCATTATTTTGTTATAGAAAAGTGGATCACTAATACAGGAAAGATATTTGCTGTTGTAGTATATCGTCTCTTTTAGAACAACAAAGTTCTTGCCAAGTGCAGCATAGTGTTTTTATAGTCAGTGGAAGTCAATTTTCTTACAGTAAAAAAAATATTTGCTGGAAATATCTTTGAAAATATGGTACCTTCAGCCTGTCCAACAAAACTAGGATAAGCAAACTTCAATCAAACTTCTATATTTTCAATATTCGAATATCACTTTTTGAAATTTTGTGAATTTGATTGAAGTTTGATTATCCTAGTTTCTTTAGGTGAAAGTCCATGTTTTTTTCAAAGTTGAGTGAGTTTTGTTGGACGAGTGATGATTCTACTTTCAAAGAAATTTTTTGCAAATATTTTTCTAATGGAAAAGAATTAACTTCTTCTGCTAATTAAACCGTTGAAACTATTTCAGCCTAAGATCATTCATTCAGAAATTGAGGATTTTAATAAGGAACACATTATGAAAAATGTAATAAAATGCTTTATTCATACTTTTTATCAGTCTTGAAAATCCTAGAATCTATAATGAATAAATAATAGATTTCTTCGGAATGTCAGTAAAGGCAAATGTACTTATAAGTGTTTTTGAAAATTATCATCTTACAAATTCACTTGAATTTGTGCTGTATACACAATACACACAACACACAACCAAGCACAACTATGAAAAGTTCAGTTTGAAAAAAAACTAATTACAAATAGGTACTACAACACGAACGAACCTTGTTTTACACGAACGTGCTCAAACCATGGACGTATTTGAACTGATTTAAACAGTACCCAAATAGTACCTAAACAAAACAAAAACACCTTTGTATATACACAATAAATCTCGCGGCACTGTGACCGCTGACCTCGACTCTTCCTGTTTGCTGTAATAGTAACACTGATACGATATACGATGCACTTATGCACTGAGACACGAAAATGAAATGAACTAGTCTGAGAGATCGTTGTCTGAACTGAAAATGTGATGTCCGGTAGGTGACGATCTGCAGCAGTGGCACGTTTGGCAATAAATGAAATACGCACCAACCGACTTGCGATTTTGGCGCGTCCTAACCGCTTTCAGCTAAGTTTTTTGCTGGGATAGAATATAACTTCACTGTTATTGTAAAGAAAATATTGATGATGATAATTTTCTCTGCTGGGCAAGCACAGAGCCTTACAGTTATTATAAAGAAATATTCATGAAAACTTCTTTACTACGACAGTAAGATATCTACCTATCTCGGAAAAGTACATTTTCGGGGTAGGAGAAATAATTTAATAGAATTGCAGTTCTCCTCCTATAGAATAGTTGTTTTCCGTAAAAGAAAGTTTTTTTGGAGTACCAGTAACATGGATTCAGTAAAGTGATTTTTTCTGTGAGAGCAAAGCGACATTACTACGATTGATACTTTTTTGGCTATAACAGGAGAAAAAAACTCAGCAAAGAGCTTTTTCCTGGGACTTTTCTCAGTGTACTGTGAAGTGTAATTATTGCAATAAAATGGGGCATTTTGCAAGAAATTGTCTCAAGAAAAGATCCACCAGAGTCAACTCAAAAAGTTGTAGCCATTGTAAAAGGGTTGGCCATGAAATAGAAAACTGCTGGTTTCTTAAAAACAAGGAAGGAAACCGATCAGAGAAAAGAGATAAATCTCCCATATCAAATGCATTTATAGGATCCTCTGAAAATCAAAATGCTGATGATTGGTGCATGGATACTGGTGCAAGTGAACACATGTGCTGTAATAAAGACATTTTTGAATCTATCACCAAAGGGAAGAAAATCAGAAGAATAAAAGTTGGTGATGGTAACCTACTGAATGTGGAAGGTTATGGAAATGTGAAATTATGGGCATTTAATGGAACTGAACTAATTGAAACCACATTGACAAATGTTTTGTATGTGCCCCAACTCAAATTCAATCTTTTTTCTGTTGGTTGTGCCTTGGACAAAGGTTTCCATATGATTTCAGACAATAATAAATGTCAAATCATTGATGAAGAAGGTCATGTGCGTGCAGTTG